CCGTGGGGTCGAAAAAGAGTCGGACACAACTTAGTGACTAAATAGCAGCAGTAGCAGTTCAGATTTTTGTGTGAACCTAAATTTATTTCTGCTCAGGAGTGAGATTGCTGATTCATATGATAAATGTTATGTTTAGTGTTTTTTTAAGAAACTGCCAGACTGTTTTCCAGAATGGCTCTGTTATTTCACACTCTCAGTGGGAATGTGTAAGAGATCTAATATCTTCACATTTTTTAATAGCTCTGTGCTGATAACCCATCATGATCTTAATTTGTATTTATTACCTGATGGCTAGTGATGGGGAACATCTTATCATGTGCATATTTGCCATGTGCATATCCTTATTGGTATTGCATATCCTCTTTGTTTTTTGTCCATTTTCTAAATGGGTTGTTTGTTTCTGTTTTGAGAGTTCTTTATACATGGTAGATGTGAATCCTTTGTCAGATCGGTGGTTTGCAGATATTTTCTCCCAGTGCGTAGCTTGTTTTTTCATCTTCTTTATAGGTCTTTTGCAGAACAAAAGTCTTAAATTTTGATGAAATCAAATTCATCCATATTTTTCTTTTATGGATTGGGTTTTTGATATATCTAAGACCTTCAACAAGTCCTATGTTCTTAAGATTTCTCTTGTTTTCTTCCAAAGATTTTAGTTTTATGTTTTATATTTAAAACTGATCCGCCTTGAGTTAATTTTTGTATAAAAAGCAAAGGTTAAGTTGAAGTCCAGTTTTTCCTATGAGTACCCAGTTGTTTCAGCCATTTGTTGAAAAGTCTTTCCTTTTTCCACTGAATTGTTCTCACGCTTTTGTCACAATGAGTTGCACTTACTTATGTGGGTGTATTTCTTATTGCTGTATTCTATTCCATTCATCTATGCATGTATCCTGCCAATACCATCCTGTCTAAATTACTGCATGTAAGTCTTAAAACTGGATAGTGATTCTTTTCACTATATTTTTCTTTTCCCAGAATTGTTTTAGCTATTCTAGTTCTTTTCCTTTTCCACATAAATCTTGGAATAATCTTATGTATATTTACAAAAAGATCTTGCTATGATTTTGATAGGAATACACCTAGCCCAACAGACCACTGTGGTGAGAATTAACCTCTTTATTGTGATGCATCTTTCAATCCAAGAAAATTAAGTCTGACAGATTTTATTCTTTTGGGCTCCAAAATCACTGCCAATGGTGACTGTAGCCATGAAATTAAAAGATACTTGCTCCTTGGAAGAAGCTTTATGACAAACCTAGACAACATATTAAAAAGCAGAGACATTACCTTGCCAACAAAGGTCCATCTAGTCAAAGCTATGGTTTTTCCAGTAGTCATATATGGATGTGAGAGTTAGACTATAAAGAAAGCTGAGTGCCGAAGGATTGATGCTTCTGAATTGTGGTATTGGAGAAGACTCTGAGAGTCCCTTGGACTGCAAGGACATCCAACCAGTCCATCCTAAAGATCAGTCCTGAATATTCATTGGAAGAACTGATGCTGAAACTCCAGTACTTTGGCCACCTGATGTGAAGTGCTGACTCCTTAGAAAAGACCCTGATGCTGGGGAAGATTGAAGGCAGAAAGAGAAGGGGGTAAGAGAGGATGAGATGGTGGGATGGCATCACCAACTCAGTGGACATGAGTTTGAGCGAGCTCCAGGAATTGTGAAGGACAGGGAAGCCTGGTGTCCATGGGGTCGCAAAGAGTCAGACATGACTGAGCAACTGAACAACAACAACAATCTTTCAGTCCACGAACAGTATCTCTCATCAACATTTTGTAGTTAATCAGCATAAAGATGCTTTTACACCTCTGTCAAAAATCAGTTGACCCTACTTGTGTAGGTCTGTTTCAAGTCTCTATGCTTTTTCATTTATCTGTGTGTGCTATGGTCAAAAACGGACATTCCTAATTACTCTTGCTATATAAGTCTTGAAATTGGATAGTAATTCTTTATTATTCTTCTTTCCATTATCCATTCAGCTATTTTAGCGTATTTGCCCTTTAATATAAATATTAAAACAATCTTGTCTCTATCTGCAAAAGAAAATGTTGTTAGGATTGTATTAGGAATTCTGTTAAACTGGTAGATCACATTACTTTTTACTACATTGATTATCTCTATCCATGAACATTGTCTGTCCATATATTTAGATCTTTTTTGGTTTCTAAATTTTGTAGTTTTCAGCATACTAGGACTATACATGTTTGTTAGTATTTAATTTTGTTTAGAGCTGATTTCCATATAATTGAATGGATATTCAAATTATTTTGTAGTGGTTTGTGCCTTTTGAGGAATTGGTCCATTTCACTTGTGTTGTCATTTTGTGTGAGCACTGTTCTTAGTACTTCCTGTCATCCTTTTGCTGTCTTGTTGTCTGTAGTGATATCCCCATTTTTATTTTTATGTTTGGTAAGTTGTGTCTTCTCCTTTGTCTTTATCAGTCTTGCTGGATGTTTGTTAATTTTATTGACCTTTTCAAATCACAAACTTTTTGTTGAATTGACTTTCAATTTTTCAATTTCATTGATTTCTGCTCTTACATTTATTATTTCTTACCTCCTATGAGGTGGAGGTTGAAGTCTTTAGTTTCTTGTGCTGTATCCCTTGCTGTCCTGGTGAGAGAACTTCCTCCTCACTGGTCAGTGGTGTGGAAGTTGATGCTCCCACTGGGCACTGCTAATACCTCCCTGGATGATAGGGGTATGGGTGCCTATTTAGTGTTTCTCATGTGTTCTTCACTGACACATCAAAGGAGAAGGGATATAGGGGTGAGGGAGGTTACTGATAAATAGCGATGGAAGTGTGGACTTTACACCAGACCTTCAGCCTGGAGTCAGGGGAGTACCTGATTACTGTTCTGGACATAACAGCTCAGGCTCCTCACGTCATCTCCATGGACACTGCTGGGGGCCTCGTTACCACCCAGTGAGGACCAAAGCCCTAGCTCCCCACCAGGCTTCTCTGACACAGGCAGCAGGGAGTGGTTGCGGCAGCTGGTTTCTGCTTGGCCAGGGTTGAAGCTGAAGCGTCCCACTGGAACTTTGCTGGTGGGAGAGGAAACAGTGTATTTTCTGTGGTGTTTAGCTGCACTTTTCTGTCTTGCCAGACTGCCCTGCTCCTGGTCCTTTGAATAGAGGGAGCAGCCTTTTGTGTTTTTTTTTTTTTTAATACCTTTTGGTGTTTTTGAGATGACAGCTACATGAGCTCCCACTTTAGCATATATGAGGCTAAAAGAAAACCCAGCAAACTCACCATTGTCATTCCTCGGGTCCTGAGGTCTCTAGACAGCCTGCCTCCTTTCTGCCTTTCTCAGTTTTGTATAAATGTGTAGAGTCTTTAGCTGTGCTTATCTGGAATAAGGAACAGCATGTTTATTCAATCTTTCTATTCTATGAAGTTCATTGCCACATTTTTACAGATTTGAATTACTGATTTCTTGTCAGTTCTATGTTCTATCTATACCTTCTCCCAATTGAGGGCTTGTTTTCCCATTTTCTTTGTGGTAATCTTTTGCCTAACTGTAGTTATTAACTTTACTGAAGTTGAATTCATTCATTTCTCCCTTATGCTCTTGTTTTTTGTTTTCTTGATTAAGAAACTTATTCCAGCTCTAAGGTTACACAGATACTTTCCTATATTTCCTAATGAAAGTTTCAAACTTCTTCATCTGTCCTATCCAAAATTTTGAATTAAGTCAGGTAGGGATCTGATTTCATCCCTCTCCCACTGTAGAGAGCTGTAGCACCAGGACATTTTCCTCCCCTTTCCCACCAATTTCTAGTGCCACATCTGTCGTGTGTGTAACTGCATTGAATCTATAGATACGTTTGGAGAGACTTGGCATCTTTACCATCAAGAACATGGTGTTTTCATTACTTAGGTATTTTTTGTTAATGATTCTAAATAAGCTTAACATTTTTCTACACAGTGACCTTACACATTTTCAAAACTTTACTCCTAAGTACTTAATATATTTTTGTTATTGTGAAATAGTTTTAGATTTTTTAATTAAGATTTTAAAAATTTAGATTTTAATTCATTCATTTATTGTTTCACAGCTCCCACAAAAGGAAAGGGGACGTGGGGACGAGCACTGTGAAAGATCTCCCCTCCCCCAAAGGAACACTGTTTGCACTTAAAGGAAGCAAATTTGGTGTTTTCTGAATTCCCATGGATATTTTAAATAAAATAAGTATGTCTGTGTTCCACTTTTAGCAATCCTGATCTTGTAGGTCCAGAGAGAACCAGAAGTCTAATTTAATTCCTTTAGGAGGGTCCATATGATTCTGCACATCTCTCTGAGAGAAGTTGCTAAACATTAAAAAGAATAGCCTGAGGGGATATTTATTTGGAAGAGCATCTCATTTAAAGTTATGAGCATTTTTTTCATCATTTAATATATTAGTGTGGGACATACACATAAACACACACACTATATGTATACACACACAGTGCACACAAGTATAAAATGCATATATGTACATAAAAGTGAATTGCTTTATGTTAAGTAACAATAGGTATGAATTTGAAGAGAGTGGACCTATAAAAGAATTCATTCACAGTTTGAATGAGATGTGTTGGGTTAGGACTCCATATGTTTGTTTTAAAACTTAGAATGTGAGCTTATGGATATAAATAGGATTGGTGGTTGCATGAGGTAGGGGGTGGGCAAAATGGGTGAAAAGGGTCAAAAGTTATAAATTTCCAGTTATAAAATGAGTAGGTCATAGGGATAATGTACAGTATGGGGACTATAGTTAATAAAACTGTATCACATATATGAAAGGAGCTAGGGGGATGGATCTTAAGTTCTCACCACCAAACAAAAAATAAAACAAGCTTGTAATTGTGTACAATGACAGATTTCAACTGAACTTTTTGTGGTGATCGTTTTGCAATATTTACAGACATCAGTTCCTTTCGTTGTGCAGGCTAAACTTACTGTGTTGTGTCAATTAAAAAAAAAAAGTTAAAAATACAATTTTGTCTTTCCCAGTTGGAGTCATTCGATGTCCTGTTTGCAGCCAAGAGTGTGCAGAGAGACACATCATAGATAACTTTTTTGTGAAGGACACTACTGAGGTTCCCAGCAGTACAGTAGAAAAGTCTAATCAGGTAAGTGTATTAAGTCGTGGGTCTCTTGCTTCCTCTTAATGTGGCAGCCTAGAATACTGGGGAACTCATCATGCATTTGGTTGGTTTGTCTCAAGCATATCGTTAGTTAATTTCAAATTATCCCTTCTCCCTGCTTGGCTTTCTTTTTCCTCCCTTTTAATGTATTTGCTGGGTAAACTGGGTTGTTAGTCCAGTAAAATTAGCCTTATTCTGAATTTTGTGCACCTCTTAAGTCATTTGACATGCTTCCCTCTCTACTGTATTTTTTATAAACTGGTGACAAAAATGTAGAGGCTGGTTTATATTTGAGTCCCACTGGGCGAGAGAACGTAAGAATACTTCCATCCGTATATCTGTGTGTCTTTCAAGCAGAAAGATTGTGATGCTTGGTTGTCTTTTTTTCTGATGTTAACAGCCATCAATGATCACTGCCAGGATTCCATATTTCACTCAGACTTTGAAAAAGATAACATTTTCATTCTGTCATTCTCCTTTATTTCTCAGCTGGAGTAGGAAGAGAAAAGTAACCTTCATGTATTCTTAGGTTTACAGGAAAGGTAGATAAATGCTCAATTCTTTCCCTTGAGTTGCTAATTTTTAGAGTAGTGATTTATTTTCTTAGCATTCTTCAGAGGTGACTAACAAGTGGTATGTGTGCTTATTGTTATGAACTAACTCATGGAGTTTTAACATGAAATGTGTTGTAGTTATTCTTTTTGGTGCTCAATTTGTGCCATCTTGGCAATGAGGATTCCTGAGTCCTTCCGACACAATCCCAGTAGTCATTGCTATCTCTCTTGCGTTCTGTGTTGACAAGATCTTGTTCATTTTCTGTTCTATACCTTCAACCAGCAGGAGTTGGTTCTTCTGAGAGCCTTGGTTCCTTTTAGTCTAAAATGGTATTTGGAGAACATAATATAGATGCTCTTGAGCACTTTGTTGGCCATTTTTCTATGATTTTCAAGAGAATGATTCAGCAAATGCTTTTTATTTTTAAAAGAGGAAGGAAAAAGGAAAAATATATCAAGGATATATTGACATTTTTAAGTCGAATCTAGAATTGTAGATGAAAAGTTGAGCAAATAGGAAGCCAACTAAGATGATCTTTTCCTCTGGCATTGCAATCTTCCTCTAGTACCACCTATTGCTAGAATCTAATGTGGAACAAGCTCATTAAGCATAAATGAGGCTTGCAGAGTAAGAGTGAAGACAAATAGAGTTAGTACTGAAAGTAGAAATTATAGAATTGTCTCTGTCAAAACAGAAAACAAGGTAACAATTACTAAATGTATATACTGGGGATATTCAACCAAATCATCATGTTTTAAGGTTACTTAAAATAAGTAATTCTTCCCTATATGGTTAAGTCACCCACTTGATAGGCAGGTTCATTTGTTTCATTTTGCTTTTGTTTATGGTTTTGTTTAGGGCTTTAGTTTTTCTTTTAGGGCTATGAGCCATGCCATATAGGGCCACACAAGATGGACAGGTCATGGTGAAGAGTTCTGACAAAATATGCTCCACTGGAGAAGGGAATGGCAAACCACTTCAGTATTCTTGCCTTGAGAACTCCATGAACAGGATGAAAAGGCAAAAAGATAGGACAGTGAAAGATGAACTCCTCAGGTTGGTAGGTACCCAATATGCTGCTAGACAACAGTAGAGAATTAACTCCAGGAAGAATGAAGAGACGGAGCCAAAGCAAAAACAACACCCAGTTGTGGATGTGACTGGTGATAGAAGTAAAGTCTGATGCTGTAAAGAGCAATATTGCATAGAAACCTGGAATGTTAGGTCCATGAAACAAGGCAAATTGGAAGTGGTCAAACAGGAGATAACAAGAATGAACATCAACATTTTAGGAATCAATGAACTAAAATGGACTGGAATGGGTAAATTTAACCGAGATGACCATTATATCTACTACTGTGGGCAAGAATCCCTTAGAAGAAATGGAGTAGCTCTCATAGTCAACAAAAAAGTCCGAAATGCAGTACTTGGATGCAGTCTCAAGACGACAGATGATCTCTGTTCATTTCCAAGGCAAACCATTTGATATCACAGTAATCCAAGTCTATGTCCCAACCACTAATGCTGAAGCAGCTGAAGATCAACAGTTCTATAAAAACCTACATGACCTTCTAGAACTAACACCCAAAAAAGATGTCCTTTTCATTATAGGGGACTGGAATGCCAAAGTAGGAAGTCAGAAGATACCTGGATTAACAGGCAAATTTGTCCTTGGAGTACAGAATGAAGCAGGGCAAAGGCTAACAGTTTTGCCAAGAGAACGCACTGGTCATAGCAAACACCCTCTTCCGACAACACAAGAGACAACTCTACACAGGGACATCACCAGATGGTCAATACTGAAATCAGATTGATTATATTCTTTGCAGCCAAAGATGGAGAAGCTCTATACAGTCAGGAAAAATGAGACCAAGAGTGGACTGTGGCTGAGATGGTTGGATGGCATCACCAACTTGATGGACATGAGTTTGAATAAGCTCCAGGAGTTGGTGATGGCATGCTGTAGTCCATGGGGACACAAAGAGTCAGACACGACTAAGCAATTAAACTGAACTTAGTTTTGTTTTTAACTTGAAATTTGTGAAACTACATATAAAATATTCATATACTGGTTCCAAAGAAAACTCTATGACACAGAATGTTTTCAGGGAACTCAAACTTCTATCTCCATCTTCACCTACCCTGTTTTTTCTCTTATCTTACAGCTAACCATTTGATTTCTTTTATGGTTTATCCTTGCACTTTTAATATTGTTTTATAATCTAAGTAATTTTATGTTATTTTAAAGATTTAAGCAAATAAGTCATTCCAGCTCATCTGTGTCTTTCTTAGATAAGCAGTAGTATGGTATGCTTTAACACTTAGCTTTTTTAGTTTTTATAGTGGACATCCTTTCCTAAAAGTATGTATAGAAATCCCTTACTCCTTTTTGCTCCAGAATGTAGAAATTAAGTTTCGTATGACATCCTTATAGAGGTGATAGTTGAAGCTGAGGGAGTGGATGAGACCAATCCTTAAACCTAACAAAAATTTACAGAATCCAGAGGAGAAAGAGTAGTGGTGGGATCCAGAGAGGCAATCCGGGAGATAAGAGGATCTGGAAGTGTCAAGGAATCAAAATGATTTCTAGGACATAAGAGTGGCATCAAATGATGTTAGAAAGGTAGAAGGCAAGAACTGAGAAAGAGCAAGTTTGGGTTGTAGAAGTATTATCCAGGTATTTGGAATTTGGCTAATGTAAACTACTGACTGAGGGGAAAACATTTTTTCCCAATCATAAATGGTGTTATGAGGACTGTTTATGTGTTGTGTTACTTTAGCATCTGTTCTTAGAAAATAGGGCCAACATCTACACAGTTATACAAGCTGGGCAAAAGGTACTGTCCCTTGCTGTCTCTTCATCTCACATATCCAGGGCATCCTCCAAACCAGTCAGCTTTACTTCCCAAATCTCCTTCATTCATCTCCACTTCTAGCACTGCAAAGGGCTCCTACTTCCTTCTGTGCAGAAACACTTGCCCTTTTTCTAATCTGGTCTCTACATTGCAGGGACAGTCGTGCACTTTCTGTGATTTTAAAAATGCACTTTCTGGCCACATCACTTACTTAAAAGCTGTTAGGAGACTTCTTCAGACAACGACCAAGTGTCATGTGATTGTCTGGCCTCTGCCGGCCTTGCCGTCAGCTCCTTCTCTTGCCAGTCTTCCTCTTGATCTCTCCACTTTAGTGTACTGGCTTTCTGTCAGTTCTTTGAACCTGCCATGTTCTTGCTAGAGGCTTTGGTACATGCTTTTCTCTCTGCCTAGAAGACTTTCACCAGTAATTGATGACTCAGCTTTCTTATCTTGGTGCAAATATCATCTCTTTAGAGAAAGCCTTGCCTGGGTGATCTCTCCTCACTTTCCCCAACACTTCAACCCTACTCACAAATGACTTTCACCCATCATATGTTTTTATACCTTCATATACCTTTCCTTTATGGCACTTTTCAATCTGTAGTTTCGTATTAGTGTGATTATTCCAATAATGTTATTCTTCATAACCACTTAGTAAAATTCATGTTATTGCCATTATTTTAAGATGAGCATTCTAAGTAACCTGCCTAAGACTACTCATCTGGTAAGTATGGGTTCATTTATGTGTGGTTAGTTGTGTGACCACCTTTTCTTTATTCTCAAAAATTGATAGGACATGTTTCTTTTATTAGGTATGTACAAGCTGTGAGGACAATGCAGAAGCTAATGGGTTTTGTGTGGAGTGTGTTGAATGGCTCTGTAAGACATGCATCAGAGCTCATCAGAGGGTGAAATTCACAAAAGACCACACTGTGAGACAGAAAGAGGAAGTATCTCCAGGTAATAAATTAGTTTTTAAATCTCATTTTTTCTCTGTCCTTCCCAGGTCATTCTTTCCTTCCCATACTAACTTGTTTGGATACAGTTGTAAACATTAAATATACTCTTTCTTTTAATACAAGAAAGTCTATTGTAGTTGAATTTGAATACTTGTAAATGTTGGTAAGTAAATGTTGAGTAGATTTAGAATTCTTCTGCATTATTTATACTCACAACCCTCCTCCTATAAATGCCTTGATTTGGTATGAATGTACAACTAAAAAAAAGTTGCTTTTAAAATTTCTCTATCTCTTTCTTTTTAAGATGGTAAGGGGTGGGTGAGCTAAAAGAAGTTTTACAACTCTTTTTCTCACTGATATTCTTTTATTAAACCTGTTCTGTGATATTTATTATGTAGGTAACTAAAGAAGCTTTGCTCTTTATGTAATGATGGTTTCTGCATTTTTGTTGTGTTGCTTATAATGTAAACTTAACTAATACATTTTTATTATAGTAAAATACATATGTAACCTAAAGATTGACATTCTAACCATTTTTAAGTGTACAAATTGGTGGCATTAATTGTATCCAAAGTGTTATGCAACCATCACCACTATTTCCAAAACTTCCATAGCACCCCAAAATAAATTTTAATAATAATAATATAATATTATATAATTAATTAATATTAATTTAATTAATTAATTAATATTAATTAATCATAATATAATAATAATAATTACAATAAATAATAATTACCCATTCCCCTCTCCTCTCCAGCCCCTTGTAACCTCTAATCTATGATTTATCTCTATGAATTTGCTTACTCTAGATACCTCATACAAGTGAAATCATATGGTGTTTGTCCTTCAATGCCTGGCTTATTTCACTTACTTCAGTGTTTTCAGGTTTTATCCATGTTGTAATATTTATCAGCTCTTCGTTCATCTTTATGGCTCACATGTATTTTTGTTTAAAAATTAATTCACTGCTTTTTATTCACTGAGTCAACAAGGGTTTGAATGTCTATTCTATATTCCAGGAACTTTGCTAGATTAAAGAGATGAAGGAGTGAGTAAGACAGGTACTTCCCACCCTCCAGGAGGTATCAGTATGATGAAGACTATGAACAGATTAGCAATCATAGTTTAGCCTCATAAGTTCTGTAGATGCACATGAAAGGAGTACTAAATGCAGACTTGGGGATTTACATTGAAAGCCACATCTGGGACTTCAAAGGTGAATAGAAGTTCATCACATAAATGAGAAGGGTGGAGATAACCAAAGCACATGGCACACATTTCCAGAGGGAGAACACTGATTGTATCTGAGAGTAAGATGCAAGAAGTGTAGTAAAAGATGGGGCTAGGAGTTCTGAGACACAGGAAAAGGGATATAATTTCCAAGAACACCAATGAAGAGAAAAGACCAGGTATAGTCTCAGGTAAATTTAATAGATTAGTACTTTCTAGAAAGACTTGTTTTTCTGTGAAGTCCAGTGTCTATTGAAAAAGAGATTAGAAGAACTAAGGACTTAAAAGGTAAGGGACATGGAGGATACTTGAAATAGCTTCAGTTGAAAGAGAGCTCTAGCTTTGGAAATAAGATTACTTGGTAGCATCAAGGCTGCATTTGATATTGCACTTAAAACTTCCTCTGTCAGTCCTCTGGAGTGTGATGTTTATAGAGAAGAATTGAACTATTTATGGTTGGAGTTTAGTTGGATTTCCAAGGGGTAAATGATGCAGATAATGGCATGTGTTGACATGAAGAATTCGGGGTTTTAACTGTAGAAAGAAAGTGAAGTTGTTGGGATAGAAGTGGTTAGGGACTGGAGATATCAGTGAGGTATAATGAGAGTAGTTGAAGAATTAGAAAGTTAGAAAGTAGAAGTTATTAGAGTGGGATATTTGAATTTATGATTACAGAAATGGAATAGTAACAGACAATAGAAAATCGAGGGTGAGACCATGATGTATGTGAAATGGTATAAGTAGGTAAAATGAAGTATAGGTCTCTAGAGATGAAAAAGTGTGAGAGGCTTGTCTTTATGTGGTGCTCTCTACAGACTTCTCAATCATCCAGGCTGATCATGATGAGACTTAGGGCTACGAGGATGTCTGTGGGTCAGAATCAAAATTCCTCATAAATAAAAGAAGCCTATAAATGGGTGACATGTTAATTATCTAAATCAGGTGCTATAATAATTATAATAATATAATTATTCCTGAAGAGCAGGCACAAACCAGGATGTCCTAAGCCAAACAAGGTTGTCTGACTACCCATCATCTACTGTGTTGCCCAGATGACTTGAACCTCAAGGAGACGGGAACAGGGAAGCTATGACAGTATTGATCCATCTTTGCTTTGCTGGGATTCATTCCATTTGGTCTTGTTGTGTTGTGCTTTTAAAATTCTTTTAATACATTGCTAACTTTCTCTGTCTGGTTATTTTCCTTTTATTCCAGAATTTTATGTTTTCCCTTCTTTTTGATAAACTAGACGGTAGTTTACCTTTTTGTGTTTATCCCTAAATTTATCTAGTTGCCCTCCACATATTTTTAGTTCATTAATTTTATTTTTAATTCCCCTCAGCTTACCTTGAGTTCAGTTCAGTCGCTCAGTCGTGTCCGACTCTTTGCTACCCCATGAATCGCAGCACTCCAGGCCTCCCTGTCCATCACCAACTCCTGGAGTTGACTCAAATTCATGCCCATTGAGTCGGTGATGCCATCCAACCATCTCATCCTCTGTCATCCCCTTCTCCTCCTGCACCCAGTCCCTCCCAGCATCAGGGTCTTTTCCAGTGAGTCAGCTCTTCTCATGAGGTGGCCAAAGTATTGGAATTTCAGCTTCAGCATCAGTCCTTCCAATGAACATCCAGGGCTGATCTCCTTTAGAATGGACTGGTTGGATCTCCTTGCAGTCCAAGGGACTCTCAAGAGTCTTCTCCAACACCACAGTTCAAATGAATAAATTTTTCAGCACTCAGCTTTCTTCACAGTCCAACTCTCACATCCATACATGACCACTGGAAAAACCATAGCCTTGACTAGAAAGACCTTTGTTGGCAGAGTAATGTCTCTGCTTTTTAATATGCTGTCTAGGTTGGTCATAACTTTCCTTCAAAGGAGCAAGCATCTTTTAATTTCATGGCTGCAGTCACCATCTGCAGTGATTTTGGAGCCCAAAAAAAAAAAAGTCTGGCACTGCTTCCACTGTTTCCCCATCTATTTGCCATGAAGTGATGGGACCAGATGCCATGATCTTAGTTTTCTGAATGTTGAGCTTTAAGCCAACTTTTTCACTCTCCTCTTTCACGTTCATCAAGAGGCTTTTTAGTTCATCTTCACTTTCTGCCATCAGGGTGGTGTCATCTGCATATCTGAGGTTATTGATATTTCTCCCGGCAATCTTGATTCCAGCTTGTGCTTCTTCCAGCCCAGCGTTTCTCATGATGTACTCTGCATATAAGTTAAATAAGCAGGGTGACAATATACAGCCTTGACGTACTCCTTTTCCTATTTGGAACCAGTCTATTTTTCCATGTCCAGTCCTAACTGTTGCTTCCTGACTTGCATACAGGTTTCTCAAGAGGCGGGTCAGGTGGTCTGGTATTCCCATCTCTCTCAGAGTTTTCCACAGTTTATTGTGATCCACACAGTCGAAGGCTTTGGCGTAGTCAGTAAAGCAGGAATAGATGTTTTTCTGGAACTCTCTTGCTTTTTCGATGATCCAGCAGATGTTGGCAATTTGGTCTCTGGTTCCTCTGCCTTTTCTAAAACCAGCTTGAACATCTGGAAGTTCATGGTTCACGTATTGCTGAAGCCTGGCTTGGAGAATTTTGAGCATTACTTTACTAGCGTGTGAGATGAGCGCAATTGTGCAGTAGTTTGAGCATTCTTTGGGATTGCCTTTCTTAGGGATTGGGATGAAAACTGAGCTTTTCCAGTCCTGTGGCCACTGCTGAGTTTTCCAAATTTGTTGGCATATTGAGTGCAGCACTTTCACAGCGTCATCTTTCAGGATTTGAAATAGCTCAACTGGGATTCCATCACCTCCACTAGCTTTGTTCGTAGTGATGCTTTCTAAGGCCCACCTGACTTCACATTCCAGGATGTTTGGCTTTAGGTGAGTGATCACACCATCATGATTGTCTGGGTCGTGAAGATCTTTTTTGTACAGTTCTTCTGTGTATTCTTGCCACCTCTTCTTAATATCTTCTGCTTCTGTTAGGTCCATACCATTTCTCTCCTTTATCAGCTTACCTTAGTATTGTTTAATCAGTCATTCTATTTATTTGTATTCTGCGTTTCCATTTAATGTTATAAGCATTACCTGGTCTTATCTTCACCCTAGGTAACTAATTAAGAAGTTTTATATGGATGAATGCAATGTAATAATGTACATTTTATGATTATCTCTGTGTCAGTGGGTATCCTCTGTTAGGAGTTTTGCAAAAGTGGGGAAATAATTTTTCCATCACCTCTTTTGTACATTTTTATTAGATTTTTATGCATCGCACATTAAAAACAAAAACTACATTTGGAATAAGGAGAATTCCATTTGGTTTCACTCACTTATCTGGGCTATTTTCTTAAGATTTTTTTCTTTTATTTCATCAGTTCAGTTGCTCAGTCATGTCTGACTCTTTGCGACCCCATGGACTGCAGCACGCCAGGCCTCCCTGTCCATCACCAACTCCCATAGTTTATTCAAACTCATGTCGATTGAGTCTTTGATGCCATCCAACCATCTCATCCTCTGTCGTCCCCTTCTCCTCCTGCCTCAGTCTTTCCCAGCATCAAGGTCTTTTCAAATGATGAGTCAGTTCTTCACATCAGATGGCCAAAATATTGGAGTTTCAGCTTCAGCATCAGTCCTTCCAATGAATATCCAGGACTGATTTTCTTTAGAATGGTCTGGGTTGGATCTCCTTGCAGTCCAAGGGTCTCTTAAGAGTCTTCTCCAACACCACCGTTCAAAAGCATCAATTCTTCGGCACTCTGCTTTCTTTATAGTCCTACTCTCACATCCTTACTTGACTACTGGAAAAACCATAGCTTTGACTAGACAGACCTTTGTTGGCAAAGTAATGTCTCTGCTTTTTAATATACAGTCTAGGTTGGTCATAACTTTTCATAAGACATCTTTTAAGCTGCACACTTTCTTTTTCTCATGAATTAATTTTAATGTTAACATTCTAAAGTGAAACGTTCATTTATCTTTTCCTCCAGAAATGAAAAAACTACTTGATATTTTACTATCTGTAAAACCTAGTGGTGATGGTGATGTGATGAAGCAGTACCTCCTTTACATCTCAGTGGATTTGAATTTAAATGAACACTCTAATAATTATTTACTGTTTAATTATGTTAATTTTCTTCTCTTTGCTCCCTCCCGCATGTCTCTACAGAGGCAGTTGGTGTGACCAGTCAACGACCAGTATTTTGTCCTTTTCATAAGAAGGAGCAGCTGAAGCTTTACTGTGAAACATGTGACAAACTGACATGTCGGGATTGCCAGTTACTAGAACATAAAGAACATAGGTACCTGCATCTTTGATTGTATGCATAGATTTATAATATAGCTTTAGGAGAACTAGACGACTGCTGACATCACAGCAAAATGGCAGTCTGTAAATGTTTCCTTTGGCTAGCAGTATGTTGACCTATTAAAGGATTTTTCAACTTTGATGTTATTGACTTTGGAGCCAAGTGATTCTTTGTCGTAGTGATTCTATCTGGTGCATTGTATGGTGTTTTAATTGTATGGTGTTTTACCTCTATTTACTAGATTCCAGTAGCATTCTCCCAATTGTGACAATTAAAAATGTCTCCAGACATTGCCAAATGCCTTGGGGAGGAAAATCACCCCAGTTGAAAACCAGTGGCCTGCACACTTTAAAAATATATAAAATTAGTTGCCAGCATTGTAGATGAGATTTTACATTTAAAAAATTTGTAGGTCCTTTGTTTTGGTTTTTTGTTTTGTTTTTAAAGAAAATTGAATCTGTTGTAGCCCTAGGCGCCATATATTTTCATGTCAGCATTTGACTGGAATTAACTTTAGTCCTCTTTAAAATAGTCATACTTCTCTAATTCATCATAGTTCCTACTACAGCTAACTTTTACATCTGTCCTCCATTGGCATTTGAGTTAGTAACAACTGAATTAAACAGTAAGATTATGATACGCTGATATAAATACAATTGGCTTTAGAAAGTCTAGGCTTCCAGGAGTGGCAGACTAGGTAATTTGGACCAACCCTACCAGTGAGCTTATACCAGTGTAGCTCAGGGGCTTCCCTGGTGGCTCAGCAGGTGAAGAATCCGCCTGCAGTGCAGAAGACCTGGGTTCAATCCCTGGGTTGGGAAGATCCCCTCCCACTGCAGTATCTGGCCTGGAGAATTCCATGAACTGTATTATCCATGGGGTCACAAAGAGTCAGACATGACTAAGCGACTTTCACTTTCACTATACCGGTGAAGGTAACTAGAAAACATGGACAAAATATAGAAACCATGGATATTTTAGAGTTGGTAATAAAGACTTATTAACGCACTCCAGTACTCTCACCTGGTAGTTCCAGGGACAGGAGAAGCCTGGAGGCTATTGTCCATGGGGTCACAAAAAGTCAGTCCAAACTTAGCAATTGAACATCAACAATAATTACTAGATCAGGATTGGGTTGCAGTGGGGACAGAGAATGGTACAGGCTTTTTTCCCCTTTGAAGCATTTGCCTAGAGGTTGATGGGTGCTTTTAACAAGTTCTCAGAGCTAAAAGACAGGGATTAGAGTTCCGGGGTCACAAGGGTTAAAGGCTTCTCCTTGCCTTGCATTGGGATCCTGAAAGTCGACACTATTATGATAAAGATCAACTAGTTAGTAAATAGTTCCTCACCAGAACTAAAATGCAGAATCAAATCTAACCAGTACCTAAAGTTGGATTAAACTGAAATCATACTGCTTGTGCCTCAGGATACCTGGTAGAATAAAATGTGTATCCTCCCTGGAAGAAGACATCACCCTAGACCTCAAATCTATTTAATAATGAGTTTGGCAAAATGGGTTCAGCACACAATTAGAAATAACCAAATATGTTAGGCAATGTGATACAAGGCAATGTGAACAATGTCTAAAAATTAACATTACAATAACTGATTAAATCAGTAAAGGGTTTAAGAGCTTATTTGACATGCTAGTAAATGAGAATTCATGAACTGGAAGAAAATTAAGAAAGCATCAAAATTAGCATGATAAACAGAAAGATGTAAAATGGATCAAAAAGATGTAACTGTGTAATTTGGCTCCAAGAAGGAGAGAGAGAATAGGAAGGAAGCAGCATTTGAGGGCCGAGTATAATGGCTTAGCACTTTGTAATGTGAAGATATCTAGCTCATATTCTATAAGTCTCATAACTCCTCAGCGGGATAATTTAAAAATAAAGTAATATTTTTGAAGTTGAAAAAGAAAATAACTATAAAACTAAAATTCTATACCCAGTGAACGTATTCTTCAGAGATGAGAGTTAATGAGAAAGACATTCAGACAAAATAAACAGAGAATATATCCCTGGTAAACACTCACAAAAGCACTTTAGGCAGAAGAAAAACAGTAGGTGATGCATGATGGAAAGAGTAGTAGTTAAAATAAGTATGAGTAAATCAGAATAAGTGTTGACTTAACAATAATGTCTTAGTGTGTGTCGGGTGTGTGTTACATATCACACAGCAGACGTGTTAGGATATGGAGTTCATGTCCTTAGCATTGTTTAGGAAGACGGTAGTAAATATAAATTAATCTTAGATGATAAGTCAAAATTTTCTAATGCAGAAAGTAGTTACTAAAAGAGTAGTAAAAATCAATATGATTATCATGATAACAGAGGAAGTGGAAAAATTAATAATTAGTCTAAACTCAGACCAAAGAAGAAAAAAGGAACAAAGAGCAAGTGGTATTTAATAATACTTTGATAGGTTGGTAGATCTCTAAATATATTTGTAGTTATAATAAACATGGATGGATAAAAGGTTCCAAATTAAAACATTCCAGGCTGAATAAGGAAGCAGAGAATCTGGAATTCTCTAGGCCAGAATACTGGAGTGGGTAGCCTTTTCCTTCTCCAAGGGAACTTCCTGACCCAGGAATCAAACCAGGGTCTCCTGTGTTGCAGGAGGATTCTTTACCAGCTGAATTACCAGGGAAGCCCAAGCAGTTAGAAATCAATTTGAATAAAGCATCAAGGAAGTTCCAATAGATAATAGAAAATATTTTTATCTGAATGATGATGAAAATATCCTTGAGGTATACTACTAAAGCCATGATTAGAGGAAATTATCATTAAATGCATATATTCTATGTTAAGGATAAAAAGTAAATTGAACATTTATCTCAAGTTTAAAAAGACAGTAAATTAAACCCAAAGTCAGTAGCAAAAAGGATATCATAAATAACAATGCAGAAGTTAGTGAAATAGTCATAGTGAAAAGGTGGATCAGAAGAGTCCTTTAATTTAGTAATATCTATAAAGACTCCCTTGTTCTTAAGGGATAATGAAGGGAAAAGCTGCCTTCTATGGATATATTTGGTATTTTTTTTTAATTATTGTTTACATCCTTTATACCCATTATCATACAAGTGGGCTTCCCTGGTGGCTCAGATGGCCCTGCAATGTGGGAGACCCAGGTTCAATCCCTGGGTCAGGAAGATCCTCTGGAGAAGGAAATGGAAACCCACTCCATTATTCTTACCCGGAGAATCCCATGGACAGAAGAGCCTGGCAGACTGCGGTCCATGGGGTCGCAAAGAGTCTGACACGACTGAGCAACTAAGCGTACCCATTATCTTAGTCTTCTATTATTTGTTTGCTTTGGGGCTTTTCCTCATTTTAGACAGACATATTTGTGTGAAATAATTTGCTTATTATTTTTTCAGATACCAATTTATAGAAGAAGCTTTTCAGAATCAGAAAGTGATCATAGATACACTAATTACCAAACTGATGGAAAAAACAAAATATATAAAATTCACAGGAAATCAGATCCAAAACAGGTAAATTTATATTTGTGGTATTATTTAAATCATTTTTATACAATGTATTAAGTATATTAATTTTAAGAACAGACAGTTTGCTCAACTCATGGTGAAGTACATCCAAATGAGTTGTCAGATGGGTCTAATAACACAGAGCTGATAAGACTTGTCCAGAAACTTTGAATCTCTGGAAAGTTTGAGAGTATTCTTCTCAGCCATGAAATTTAAAAACTGTTGTTATTATTAACAGCTCATTTATCAGGTAAATATTAATAATAATTTTTAATTATTTGCTGTTTTCTAATTTCCCAAGAAATGCCAGGATATAAAAACTGTAAAGTATTTTAACAATTAGATAAATACTTGCTATTTTAAGGAAGAAGAACATATCATAGAACATCAGGAGACAGGGCTTGTAAAACTGTTTCACATACCTTTTACTCTTTAACAGGTACAATACTTAAAAGAGTTTCTACATATTACCTGTTATACTTTTGTCCTCCAAGGGATCAAATCATCAGCTGTCCATGTCTTATAGTTCAGTGATTGGGGAAGAAAACCACTGACCTCTGTGGAGAAGAGGGAATTTGTCTGGTGCCCCTTTTTATCCATTTGGGACCCACACTGACATTTTTACACCTGTGAAACTCCATGACTCCTTTCCTTTGTTGTTGTGCACACAGAAGTAACATGTCACTGCTTAAAAAGATCAAGAAAGAGAGAGCCTGAATAAGGGAGGCCTTGCAGGAGTTTTCAGTGCTGTTCACAGGGAAAAAATAGATCAGCCTCTTACAATTCATCTTCCTTAAGATCAGTTGTTACAATCTGTTACTCTGATCATTTTGCAGCATGGCTAGGATGGGACATCTGGTACTTTTTTCCAAGGAATTCCTTGGTTTACCTGGTTTTCTTAAAGGAGATTTTAAGTATAATTTAACCTTTTCTTGATAACCTGGTGGTGGTGTTATTATATCTATTTATTATTATACCTTGTGGTAATAAAAGTTCTGTGGTGTGTCTTTTAGTTTTTATTATTCTTTTGTTATCAGCTCTCATTTCACTTTACCTTTCTCTTTCATATAAAAACTGTAGTTGACCAAATACTATTTTCTTTGCCATATTCCAACCAAGTACTGTATTTGGCAAAATTGACATAACTGCTGGGTTTAAGATTTTTGTATTTGAATAATGGGAAGTATATAATGAATATTTATGGAATGATAAGGATAGATAGTTTTTCCCATCTAATGGCAAAGAGTAGCAATTGCAAAATAACTAATTCTATATATATGTGTGTATATATATATAAACTCTCCACCCTTGATGAAATTCACCCTTTTGACTTTTTTCTTTCACTGTGTATATGCTATGAGTTCTGAGCCAAAGTTTACTTTAAAAAAAAAAGATATCCATTTATTCCAACACTTGTTCCAGTTGTTGAAAAGACTATATCCTGTTGCTGTTAAACTGCGTTGGCACCTTTGTAGAAAATCATTTGACCATATATGTATAATATTATTTTGGACTTTCCACTTCATTCCATTTTCTTTCTTACTAATACCACACTTGCTTCATGACTAGAACTTTTTATAGTAAATCTTAAAATCAGACATTGTGAGTTTTCCAAATTTGTTTTACTTTTTTTAAAAGTTGTTTATGCTAGTTTTTAAAAATAATACATTATGATATGGAAGGATTTTATTTTTTGAATGGTAAGAATTTAAAATCTTTGAATTAGTTGCTAATTATTAATATCTTTATAGCCTCTTGATTATAAAATGTTAAATTTACTGGACTGGCTTTGCTATTAATTCATTTTTACTCATATGCAAACATGGTATTACTTGTCCCTTTTTTCATTCTGTTCTACCATCATGAGATTTTTGTTTGTTTTTTGAGGTTGTTTACTTCCTTGATCTGATAGCCATTGTTGATGTTCAATAATTATCTTGAAGAATTTCCAACATGGCAGGGAATAAATAGCCCAGAGAACTTATACTCAATATTTTGTAATAATGTATAAGGGAAAATAATTTGAATAATAATAATATATATATATATGTATGTGTAACTGAATCCCTTTACCATATACCTGGAACTGATACAACATTGTAAATCAACTATAATTTTTAAAAAAAGAATTTCCAACAGAGAATAAAATCCCTGCCCCTTTGATCTTAAGTTTTGGAAGATAACTATGGAAGAAGCAGACAGAAGAAATGAAGCCTTTTATTTACCTCATAATGTTTGATGGTGGATGCCTCATTTTTATCTGCTTCTATAAGGTATTCTGGTTTGATGCTGTGTATTTTTTTTCTCATCCATTTTGATCTCCATGAAAACATTTTCTCTGATCAAAGGAAAAAATGTATGGTGGTATGTAAAAACATAATGTTATTTGGCTGCTTATTTCAAGACAAATGTGTTATTAAAAGTAGTTAACTATTATTATGGTCTTTTGGTTTTTATTCAGATAGAATGAATGGGCAGCAGTTCAGATGACTAAGATAATTGTGACACATTTAAGCTTTTCTACTTTTTAGTTGCAGTGAATACAGTAGAATTCAGAGTCACGGTTTTCCTTATCTTGTTTATAAATCTTTTTTTTTTCTTTGTCCGTCCTTACAGGCTGAGAAATTTTCTACGTGTCATCATAATTTTTCTGAATATTATTTCCTTAAAAATGTGTTCATTCTTTTACAGTTTTATACATTTTTAAGATTGAACTGAAGTGACTGTCTTTTGGAAGAATTATATTTTTGCTTTCTCATCTTTAAGAAAGTCAATTTAAACTGAAGGACCCTTAGGAATAGCCAAGCTTTTAAGAGCTGAAAACTTTCTGGTCTAATTTAGACATTAGAAAATCAATATTGCGTATTATAAAACTAAAATGCCTTAGATTTTAGATTTTCCCCTTTTGTTTAATTTTCAGGATAATTGAAGTAAATCAAAATCAGAAGCAGGTGGAACAGGATATTAAAGTTGCCATATTTACATTGATGGTAGAAATAAATAAAAAAGGTAAAGCTTTACTGCATCAGCTTGAGGTAAGTTACTGTTAATGGGACAAAATGTAGTGATTATGTTAAGTGTTTTCTTATGTATTTGTGAATTTGGAATCACAGCCTTTTTCATATAATTGTTTTTATTTATGATTCAGTAATATTTTAGGCTCTGCCTTGTAGCTGACAATTTGTGACTTTAAAATGCACTAGGAATGTCTTACTCCTTATTGTTTACTTCATAGCACAAAGCGTAATGCCTTGCTTGGAGGAGGAGCTTGGTAAATGTTAAAACAAGATGAACTGTTTTAGAGATTCATTGAACTGACAGCTTTGGGTCCCCAAAGCAGTGCAGCAAAGTTTTTCAATAAGTTACCCTAAACTATACTTAAATCTCAAATATATATGTTTAACCTTAGGAGAAATTAGATAAAAGGATGTGTCTCCTCCCCTCAACAGTCTTAATTGTGAAAGCAATACTCAGGGAGCGATGCTCAAGGCACTTAGGATAGTTTTTTCTCACTGCAGGTAAGAAAAATATTACTGTCTTAATCAGCTTTTTTACACACATGAAAGGTCAAGATCCAGAGTTAATGTTTGACTCAAATAATATGAAGCTACAACTTCTACATGGTATCTTAATGCAATACTAATGCATGATATTTTGGTATTCTTTTAATATATTGGTACAAAAGGATTTTAAGAGAAGAAAGTTAAGAAGAGAATAAAAGAACCCTAATGTTTGAAGATTTAAGGGGAAGAAAGCTCATAGAAATAAGTTAGTTCAATCTCTTTACCTATAGTCGACAAAATTGTAAGGTCTTTGTCAGCAAGATCTCTTCCTCTTGGAAAAGCATGATCATTCCCGTGGTTTATCAAACATACAGGAAGCAGAGACCAAAATGATTCTCTCTCCTTTTGGAAACAAATACGTAGTGAAAAAATTTTCTGGCTGGGAGGAATCAGACCTCATTCATCATAACTATCTTTTCAAGGTTCCAGGGTGCATTGGGAGGTTGTTGGTTTGTTTAGCTAGAAGCATTTAAACTATTTTAAAAGATGTCAGAGCTCTACTTAAAATCAGATGTCACATTGATTTGCTTTCTCAGAGTGAATAGTGCACACGTTGCCGTAGCTGTTTCCAAATTTCACTGTAAATCAGGGTCGCTTGCTTTTTAAACATCCAGGAAAGAACACAAGATGACCACATCTTCAAATCTCTAAAAGTAAACTTGGTCATCAGTATTATTTTAAATCAGCTTTATATATTGACTTACATTTTTTACAGTGACTTTTAGGTATTCGTGTCAGTCTTCATACCCATTCTCCTGGTTCATAGGATCCTCCTTTAAGGCAAATAAATCAGTGTTTTCTAATAACTTGAAAAAAAGTCAGCCAAATAGTTATTACTATAGAAGACCATTTGGGCTTCTGATTCTCAATTTGCAACATCTCTAAAAGTCAACAGAATTTCTATTTCTAGAATGTCTTTAAGAAACACTTAGGTTTTGTGTGGTCAGAGAGAGCCTAGCAAATCATCTCTGAACTTAAGATTAGATACAACAAAGCCATCAGTAGTCACTGCAGTGACTTAATTCAGTTTGAAGTCACTCAGTGATGTCCAACTCTTTGCAACTCCATGGACTGTGTAGCCCACCAGGCCCCTCCGTCCATGGACTGGAGTGGGTTGCCATTTCCTTCTCCAGGGGATCTTCCCGGCCCAGGGATCAAACCCGGGTCCTCCACATTGCAGGCAAACGCTTTACCATCTGAGCCACCAGGGAAGCCTCTAATTCAGTTTAGCATGTATGTATTTTCCAAATTTGAAGCCAAGGTGTAGGTTCACTTTTTCTGTTGAGAATATAATTCCATATTGGAGCATAGCAATTTTACATAACATTTCTTAGAGCCAGTGAAAGGTCCTGTTTTCTCCTCCTTTCCTTGCCAGGTGAAGGAGACTGTGGGGGCAGAGACCTTTAGAATAGCCCACGTTTAGTGGGGCTTTCTTCTCCTCTGGACTGACCTGTGTTCTTGTTTGTGTACTTCCCTTGGAGAAAATTCTGTAGTGTGCTTTTCTGTGGCTTTTCTGAGAGTGCATTTGTTCCATTAGTCACTGTATCAGTTGGTTCATGGCAGTTTTCAATAGACAAAAATTATATGCTTCCCCCTTTTTTGCCTTACTACATAGAAAGCATAAATGTTGTCTACCATGTGGCGTGACTTGGCACAAAGTAGCTGCAATCAGGATAAGAGTGTATGAAAGGGGAAATCATCTGCTTGAGTAAATCATGTGATCTGGTAGCTTTACTCGATTGCTGGGTGGTACACCTATTTTATTTGTTAGTGTTGAATTTAATGGGCACTTGCTTTTGTTAAAGGGCTTCCCAGGTGGCACTAGTGGTAAAGAACCCGCCTGTCAATGCAGGAGACATAAGAGACGTGGGTTTGATCCCTGAGTCAAGACCATCCCCTGGAGGCGGGCATGGTAGGCCACTCCAGTATTCCTGCCTGGAGAATCCCATGGTAGGGAGCCTGGTGGGCTATAGTCCATAGGGTCACAAAGATGGCTAATCCATGGTTTTGTGCCTTTTTGGATACTGGAAGATGGATGAACAGAAACCTAAATCCCAGAATATGTAAAACCCAACACAAGGCTTGGGTAGCAGAGATGAGGTAGCATCGGGGCGACTGTGACACTGGAGACATAATCTTTACTTCAGTGAAAGTGATCTTTTGTACCTAGGGATAAGTTATTGTTACTTGGTTCTTAGAGGTGGAGGTTATCTTAATTTGGTAATCATTAAAATGTGTTACATGCAGAACTAATTTTGAAACTTTATTTCAGAGTCTTGCAAAAGATCATCGAATGAAACTTATGCAACAGCAGCAGGAAGTGGCTGGACTTTCTAAACAGTTGGAACATGTCATGCATTTTTCTAAATGGGCAGTTTCCAGTGGCAGCAGCACAGCATTACTTTATAGCAAGCGACTGGTAAGATCAACTGTGTGGTTTAATATAGAGAGATAGAGTGGAGTTACTAGAATGCTCAAAACTTATAAATGTTTATTAATCTATACTTGAATGCTTTTTACCTTTTTCTAATCTTTATCAATCAAAATATTTTGATTTTAAAAAATCTTTAAGCTCCCATGATTTAGGTGTATCTTCAATTTACTCTGCGACTGTCACTTCTATTTGGTTCTTTTCCAAATTTTCCCTTAGTGACAACTGAACTTAGATAATGGTAAACATTTCCTGATTACCTGTAGTGTGCCAGGCACTTAATTCTAAGCATTTCATGTAATATTTTATCTACAACTTTACATCATTTTTATGAGATGGGTGTACCTATCCACCCCCATTGTATGAGTGATGAAACCAAAGCACGGATTAACACGCATAAGGCCACTCAAAATTCCAACTTGGAGAGCCAAACCCAGAGGCTTTGTTCCTCTTGTCAACACTGCATTGTTTACCCTGTCAGTGATGTATGGTGCTGGATATTTCAATCCCATTGCTACAGAAAAGTGGCTGTCATTTGTCCAACTATTTTCAGAGTAGTCTAGAACCTTGGTACTGAAAATGTGTTTACTGCATACTAATCACCTGAGGATTCTGGTTCAGTAGTTGTGATCTGTAGTTCTGACAAGCTCCCAGGTGATGTTCATGCTGCTGGTCTGTAGACCACATCTTTAGTAGCAAGGATGTAGAAGACAATTAGCTGTGGGAGTCACACCATATAGGCATTCTTGCACTGCAGGCAGATTCTTTCCCATCTGAGCCACCAGCGAAGTCCTGTATAGGCATTCTTAAAAACTCCTGCTCTACTTGTTTTAAAGATTCCACAGAGATTTATGTTTTGAAATCAAATTATGACATCCAAATCTGTTTTCTATTCACCTACTCTGTTTTATGGAAGAAATTTTCTATGACTATATTGAAATAAGGAAATGCATTTCAGGATAAACTTGTGTAAACTAGGTTTAAATATTGAGTGACTTACTAGAAAACTGATTTGTAACTATTTCTAAAACTGTTCCTAATCATGAATTACATTCAACTCTTAAGATTTTTTTTCTTTTATAATTATCAATGATATGTTCTCTCAATCTTGAGCTGTTTTTTCTTTTTCTTTTTTTTACTGCTTCATTAGTCTAATGAAAAACAGCTTCTATACAGTTCATACTTTTTCTGTTACTTATATTTTCCTATAAGTCAAACAAAACACAGATAAAGGAGAAAGTGAGAGAATTGTCCTTTTCACTACTAGACCCATAATGAATATTTTTATTTGTACATAAGAAAGCATATTTGCACAGATAGTCTCCTTATCAGTTTAATAATGTTTCTCTAATTTTATTCTACTATTTTGTTTGTGATTATAATAAGAAAACAGTAAAGTTAGAGGATAGGATTATTTAATCTGCACAATGAGCTCCTGAAATAGAGAGGGAGACTGTTCTCTGTTTTATTATACACAGGAGAAAATAGACACAAGGAAGCATAAGGAACCAATATTACCAGCTTCCTGACTCACTGAATTGTGGTGGGCCTTGCTGCATCACTGGCAGCAGATATACTAGTAAAATAATTTACCTGTGATGAATGCAGAGCTAAAGCTTGTGATTACTTGTAAACATTTAGAAGGATTTTTATCCTAAGAAAATTTGAAAGTCACTGTACTATGCAACTCTGTCCTTTAGAGCTTCGATGCTTCGTAAATATAGACATGTTTTCTCAGGTTATTTTTTAAATAATGGCTTTTATATACTTAAAAATTAAAAAGAAAAGTCTTACTGGCCTGAAATTTCAAGCTTAGCTTGAGATTCTTAGTTCATTTTTTTTTTTTTTGCAATAGGAGTTATACGTAGTAAAAGACCAAACCGGTTGGAATAGGAGAATCCTTTCAGAAGTCCAGTTTTAAATATATTTGATAACGTTTTCACAGTATTTCCTTAGGTTTCCTCTCTCATCTGTTAAACATTCAGTTTATCCTTGTGTTATTTAGAAGAAAGGTAAGAAATACTTACAGAAGAGACCAAGAGAGTGTACTAGCAATGAGTATTTTTGTAATGCTAGTGACTAAGAAACTGTTAGAGTATATAAGTAGTTAAGTAGTTAGAGTATATAAGCAGTAAAAGGGAATTCCACAATCTTTTTTACTCCCTTTCCCTCCTATATAATTAACCTTCAAAGACCTTCTTTATGTTTCTTGAATATCTCTTTGCAGTTCCCTACTTTTAGTCTTCAGTGCTCAGAATATATCATGTTCTTTTGCCTGGATTACTGTTACCCTTTCTTAGGATGCTGTTTCTTTTTAGGGACTACCGGGTTTAGTTTAGATTTGTCTTCCATTCCTTTTGGCAGCCTTCCTTGATCAACACTGAGTTGGATTAACCTTCCCTGTGTTTACAAAGCCCTTATGCATATATCCATCATACTGTTACTTATTTTTATCTACTGTTATTACATTTGCATATTTTTCTTTTAATTTCATTAGATTTTTTTTCCCTTTTTTTTTTTTTTTTTAAGATTGCACTGGGTTTCCATTGCTGTAGACTTTCTTTAGTTGCAGTGAGCAGGGGCTATTCTTTGTTGCAGTGTGTGGACTTCTCATTGCTGTGGCTTCTCTTGTGGAGCACAGGCTCCAGGCATGCAGGCTTCAGTAATTGTGGCACACAAGCTTAGTTGCTCCATGGCATTTGAGATCTTCCTGGACCAGGGCTCAAGCCCATGTCTGCTGCATTGGCAGGCAGATTTTTATCCACTGGACCACCAGAGAAGTCTGACTTTTTTACTTCTCTAAGGGTAGAAATTTTATGTTACCCAGTGCTTGATATATAGAAATTCAGTGAAACATTGACAGTAAATAAATAAGGTGTTAGATAATATCAACTGTCAGAAGCTATAAATAAATATAGATAAAACTTTGTGTTACATTTTACAGGATTGGAAACTCAACTACTAAATTTCTTTATTTTAATTTCAGTAGAAAGGAGGCAGTATACAGTATTGCCACCTCAAAAACTATTTTAACATCTTTCATATTTTTAAAAAGAATTTTCTTTTGCTTTTTGAACAGTAGCTGAGTTTTCAGTGTGAAACCTGAACTTAAGTTCAGATACATCTGAAGACATCAAAAAATACATTTAATGACCCGCTATTTATCTTTTACACTAGTCAATGTTTATGACTCCTCAGAATTATCTCAAACATCCATCAAGGGTTTCAATAAATATAATGGTTTACATTTGAGATGGGTAATATAATCTGACAAGAGGTTTTATATATTTACATTGAATGTCAGTAAAATACAGCAGAAATTGTTATCTAAGATAAAGAACAGAGTTCGGCCAAATTTAGCATTACTTGTAGACCATGCCACAACTTAATTAGCAAATAGGTACTAGTTATCTGAGTTAAAAATAAATCCCATGTCTTCTAGTTTCTCATCAGCAAAAGAAGGAATTTACAGCATAGTATCTCAAAGGAAAAATAAAGTGTTTCCAAGTGATTTACCTTATTGTTCCTCTAATTAAGCTGATTACCATCTAAGGAAGTACTTATGTTTCTGACTTAATAATTTTGGGGGGCAAGAAAGCTTTATTTTTCAAGTTCCATGCTAAAACTCATATATTTGAAGTGCTAAGTTTCTATAGTGTGCCAAAAAGGATTGTTAAGATAAGAATGATCAACTCTACTTCCTGGCATGCAGCCTTTGGCATGGTGACTATGAGGACTCAGGGTAGTAGAGAGAGTTGGGAGACCACACAGAGGCAGCACCAGCCACAGGCGTGAAGTGGTGAGTGGGGAACACACAGGTAGTAAGCAGCATGGCATGTGGATTTGGTTACGTTACGCAGCAGAGGATCAGTCCATGGGCTGAGCAAGTAAGTAAATACATGGAGGGCAGTGGCAGCCAAGTGTTGGTTTGTTTGCTTGTTTTTTTGTTTCCTACTAGAGAAAATATTTAGAAAGGTAGAAAAAAGAATAAAGCTATAAAGATCCCTAAGATAGGGGTATAATTATGAACTCAGAGTTTGATAAAGGCCCATATAGTCAAAGCTATGGTGTTTCCAATAGTAATGTATGGATGTGAGAGTTGGGCCATAAAGAAGACTTGAGTGCCGAAGGATTGAAACTTTTGAACTGTGATGTTGGCAAAGACTCTTCAGAGTTCCTTGGACTGCAAAGAGGTGAAACCAGTCAATTCTAAAGGAAACCAACCTTGAATATTCACTGGAAAGACTGATGCTGAAGCTGAAACTCCAATATTTTGGCCACCTGATGTAAAGAGCTGACTCATTTGAAAAGACTCTGATGCTGGGAAAGACTGAAGGCAGGAGAAGAAGGGGACGACAGAGGATAAGATGGTTGGATGGCATCACTGACTGAATGGCTGTGAGTTTGAACAAGCTCTGGCAGATGGTGAACGACGGGGAAGCCCAGCGTGCTGCTGTCAATGGGGTCACAGAGTGAGACACGACTGAGTGACTGAACAACAACAGAGTTTTATGCGTGTACACAGATTTGGAAATAATTATAGATGGATAAGTATGTATGTGTATGTGCATATGTTTGCTATACTCAGTAGCAGTGAACCCACTGTCCTTCTAGATGTGGGTTTCTAAATAGCAAACAAAGTGAGGGAAAGTAGTACCCAGAATAACTTGCACTGATGAAATGATGAAGACTTGTCAAAAAGACCAGGATCCAGCCTAAGTGGGTCACCCTGGGCACACCCACAAATTTGAGGCTCAAAGTAAATAAACAATGGGTTACAACACATTGGATTAAGTAGGAATAAATGAGCCCATGATGAGAAAAATAGGCAAATGACAAAGAAGGGAAGAGTTTATGGTGAGAATATAAATAAGTAGAGAAAGAATAGTGAAAATAAAGAAGCACTTTGGTCACTGTCTTAGTGAAAGTGTTGGCCACTCAGTCATGTCCAACTCTTTGATCCCATGGACTGTAGCCCACCAGGCTCCTCTGCCTATCCTTAGGATTTCCCAGGCAAGAATATGGGGTGGGTTACCATTCCTTTCTCCAGGCTGTCTTCCCAGCTTAGGGGTTGAACCTTGGTCTCCCTCATTTCAGGCAGATTCTTTACCAGCTGAGCCACCCAGTGTCTTAGAGGAAACTCAAAAGGAGTTATCGCTGGGTACTAGCGTAGTGAATGGAGCATTGGTGAGGAATAGGGGTTTCGTATAACCTTAAATACCTCTCTGCAAAATACTGATCAGTTATAAACAGGGAGAGTGGTGAATTTACAGTAGAGAAACTGGGCATCAGAATGACTAGGTGATGAAGATTAGTATCAGCAATGGTTGGACGGTTTATATCCTGAGCTTCTCAATATGATGCCCTGACAAGTGCACATTATCACTTGTGTGGTTTTCCTAACAAGAATATTTCACCTATACTGGAGGAAATACACTCCAACCCAGGTTGAAAGTCATCCTACTGAGTGTAAAGCCTGAAATCATCAAAGACATACATGTCTGGGAAAGACCGAAGAGACATGGCAACTGAATGCAACCTATATTTCTAGTCAGCATCCTGGAAAAGTCACTGTGGGAACAGTTGGCATTAGAATGAAGTCTCTGCGTTGAGTGGTTGTGTTGCAACAGAGTTGCTTTCTGAATTTGTACTTTGTTGCTTATGTTAGAGGGTCTTTGATTTAGAGTATCTTCACTGAAGTGTTTAGAGGAGACAGAACCTAATGTTTTCAGCTTGCTATCAGAAGGTTTGTAAAAAGACTGGTAATGGTAGTGTGTGTGCACAGGAGTCCCTGAGTGGACCCTGAAATAAATGTGCTTAATATATTAACAGTTGGGAAATCTGAGTGAAGGGTTATTTTTTTACTTTTCTCCAATTTTAAAATTACTTCAAAATAAATTATTCAATTTTAGAAAATGATAAAGCATATCACAAAGGAAAAATTGGGAGTATCATTCTTTTGATTAGCATCTTATTGAGAATGTTTTATAGTGAGAATTACTAAGATGCAAAGAATTAAGGAAACGAGAAAAACTTAGGGAAGAGAGCGTTGTGTTGAGTGCTGTTTGCCAAACACTGAACCATGTACTCTACATTGTCCCAGAATAAACATTTCTACTCAAAATTTAGTATAGCTATTTGAGATAATTTAGCAATTAAAGGAAGCAAACTTATTTATTCAACATTTATTGAATGCCTGTTTTATATTTAAGGCAGCATTCTAAATACTAAGTGAACAGAAAACAAAGCAAAATTTCTGCCCTTAAAAAGCTGCACTTCAGTGAAGAGAGATAGACAGTACCAAAACAAGTAAAATATATAGACCATTGCATGGTGTTGAGTGCTGTAGGGAAAACAGCAAGTTAAGAGAAGAATCTGAGAGCACTGGGGTAGGATTGTGGCTTCAGGTAGGGAATTCTGCCTAAAGAGGGTGATATTTGAGCAAACACCTGAAGAAGGTGACAAAGCAAGCCACGCACATACTTGCAGAGAGTATTCAGGTGGAGCACAGGCACGGACAGCGAGCGAGAGGCTGAGGTGGGGGTTACTTGTGACATGGCCAGCAAGGAGGGGAGAGGACCACAGTGCATGAACACGCAGTAGGAGGAGTAAGTTCTGAGACACAGAGTTGAGTTGGGTAAATGCTGAGACTGGATGAGATCTCTAAGAAGTATGTGGGTGTAGGAGAGAGCAGTTGCAAGACACGCTGGTGTGGGAAAGGAGGAAGAACCAACACCGGAGACTGAGATGTGACACTGGAACGCACACCTATACTCGGTGACCTTAAAAAGTAGCAGCCAGTGAAATAAGGGGAAAACCATGAGACTGTAGCTCGCTAGAAGCCAAATGAAGAAAATGCTTTGCTTCCATGAGGGCCAAGTGATCACCTGTGTGAAAAGCTACTGAAAGCCTGAGGGGAGAAAATTGCTGAGTAGTGTCTGAATCAGCAAGGGTGTTGGGCCCTATTGTGCAAGTGTAATGGCTTCCCTGGTGGCTCAGATGGTAATGAATCTGCCTGCAATGTAGGAAACCCAGGCTCGAGCCCTGTGCCAGAAATCCCCTAGAGAAGGAAATGGCGACCCACTCCAGTTTTCTTGCCTGGGAAATTCCACAGACAGAGGAGCCTGGTGGGCTATAGTCCATGGGGTTGCAGAGAGTTGGACATGAATGAGCAACTAACACTTGGACTTGCATGAGTGCATGATTCGCTTTAGCTGGAAGCCTGGCCAGTTAATCCACTGTGATAGGAGGGACCACTAGTACTGGTAGGTGATGGAACTTTGTGGAAGGTCTCTGATTGTTCCTGGTTTTTTGTTTTGTTTTGTTTTGTTTTCAGGAGATGCTGGAGGTTTGGTAAGAGATAGTCATTTGAAATAGTCACTTGAGAGAGTATGGACGTAAAGGACCAGAGGAATATCATATGATAGCCTGTGAACCCCAGGCTGTGTTTTTGAAGCCCGATCAGTCCCTTTACCAGTCTAATTACAGTCATTAGAAAGTTAGATTTAACCAGTGTTGTTTGTTGGTTGGTGTTTCAGAGAAAGGTTGAGGAGAAGGGAGTGTGTGTAATTTGACATGTGAGAGAAAGGTGTTGAGGATATATGCAAGGAAATGATTATGAGGATTACTCCTGGGATTTAAGCTAGATAAGGAGAAATTGACAGATAGTGTTGGACATGACTGAGCAACTAACACTTCACTTCAGAGGGATATTGTAAGGTTGGGAGGTAAGATAAAGTCAAAGGACAGGAAAAATTTTAAGAGCAAAAGTTTATAGGACCTTTAGGGTTTGTAGGATTATTGGGATCTGGGCACTAGAGGGAATAATCTGGAAAGAAAATTCATCTAATTGTATATTAAAATCATCCAGAATTTGTTGTTCAGTTGCTAGGTCATATCTGACTATTTGTGACCCCATGTACTGCAGCACACTGGGTTTCTGTCACCTTCACTATCTCTCACAGTTTGCTCTAACTCATGTCTATTGATCGTGATACCATGCAAGTATCTCATTGTCTGTTGCCACCTTCTCTTCTTGCCCTCAGTCTTTCCCAGCATCAGGGTCTTTTCCAGTGAGTTGGCTCTTCGCTTCAGGTGGCCAAAGTATTGGAACTTCAGCTTCAGCATCAGTCCTTGCAATGAATATTCAGGGTTGATTTCCTTTAGGATTTACTGGTTTTAATCTTCTTGCAGTCTAAGTGCCTCTCAAGAGTCTTCTCCAGCACCATTGTTGAAAAGTATCAGTTCTTTGCTGCTCAGCCTTCTTTATGGTCCAGTTCTCACATCCATACTTGACTACTGGAAAAACAATAACTTTGACTATATGGACCTTTGTCGGCGAAGTGACATCTCTGTTTTTTAATGTGTGATCTAGGTTTGTCATAGCTTTTCTTCCAAGGAGCAAGCGTCTTTTAATTTTGTGGCTGCAGTCACTGTCCACAGTGATTTTGGAGACAAGAAAATAAAATCTGCCACCATTTCCACTTTTTCATCTTTTATATGCCATGAAGTAATGGGACCAAATGCCATGATCATATTTTTTTCGATGTTGAGTTTTAAGCCAGCTTTTTCACTCTTTCACCTTCATCAAGAGGCTCTTTAGTTCCTCTTCACTTTCTGCCGTTAGGGTGATATTATCTGCATATCTGAGTTTGTTGATATTTTTCCTAGCAGTCTTGATTCAAACTTGTGATTCCTCCAGTCCGGCATTTCACATGATGTACTCTGCATAGAAGTTAAATAAGCAGGGTGACAGTATACAGCCTTAATGTACTCCTTTCCCAATTTTGAACCAGTCAGTTGTTCCGTGACTGGTTGGAGCTATTGCTTCTTATCCTGTATACAGGTTTCTTAGGAGAAACATAAAGTGGTCTGGTATTCCCATCTCCTTAAGAATTTTCCACAGTTCAAAGACTTTAGCAGAGTCAGTGAAGCAGCAGTAGATGTTATTTTTGGAATTCCCTTGCTTTTTTTATGATCCAGCAGATGTTGGCAACTTGACCTCTGTTTCCTCTGCCTTTTCTAAATCCAGCTTGTACATCTGGAAGTTCTCGATTCATGCACTGTTGAAGTCTAGCTTGAAGGATTTTGAGCATTACCTTGCTAGCATGTGAAATGAGCACAGTTGTGGTAGTTTGAACATTCTTTGGCATTGCCTTTCTTTGCGATTGGAACGAAAACTGAGCTTTTCCAGTCCTGTGGCCCATCTAGGATTATGGCAGGAATAATATTAGAGATGGTGATCATAAGCCAAGAGCTGAACTCTTTAAAGACTGAGAGAATGACTGAGCATTCACTGAGGACTGCAGTGTGGAGGAGGGTGGGAGGTGGTGTGATGACTGAGATTCACAGCACAGGACAGGAAGAGCCATCCTACTAGCAGGTCTGGTTAAGGCTGTACTTAATGTCCTGAGCAGAGATTCATTTGTATTTTCTGTAATCCATTAGCCCCCTAATCTCCACTCTGAATTCTTTGAAAGAGTAAGTAAAACAAAAGCAGAATGTGATTTTACTTTACAAATATATGGTTGGTGCATCTGTGAAACTTCTGTAATTCAGTGAACTAACTTTAAGCTATCACTTTAGGATAGGTTTGTTTTGTGTTCAACAGTAAAACTGAATTGTATTTCTAACACATTTTTGAGGGAAAACTGTGTTGTTTGTCCATTTTTTATAATTTACATATGAACACTTGTGTTGGCATATATGTGATACAGAGAGCATTTTTTATGTATTTGTTGGGAACTTTATAAATTATTTGCCTAAGAAAGACTTGGATGCTTAGTTGTCTCTCTGCTTTCTTCTAGATTACGTACCGGTTACGGCACCTCCTTCGAGCAAGGTGTGATGCTTCCCCAGTGACCAACAATACCATCCAGTTTCACTGTGATCCTAGTTTCTGGGCTCAAAATATAATCAATTTAGGTAGGCTGTTATGTCGATTTTCTCAAAGTGCCATTTGTTTCTGGAACTCTTAATGATTATGAGTTTGTTGAAAATGTATTGCCTTCCACCCCCTAAATATTTTTATTATCTTGTTTTAAAGATGTAGATTTTTCCCAGTATTTCATTAGTGTGTGTATATGTGTGACACATGCATGAATATAAACACACATATAAATGTGTGAGTGATATGAAACATCCTTTTATTGACTCACTGTGTGTCTAGACTTCTGGATTTAGGAGTTGTTTTTCTTCTTCAAGCAAGTAGAATCTTGCTTGTACTGTTAGTGACATATTTATCAGAATAGTTGTTAAAACTTTTGACATGTGTCTGCCATTAATATAGTACTTTTTAGAAATGTTTTCTGTTAAAATAGTATTTCTCATACAATTATTATATACTTACTCTTGAGACCCAGTTGTCAGGTACTAATAGTTCATTTACTTGCTTTTTCTTGCTAGGGAGGGATTCTCTCTCTCTGTTTTGTTTTTTGTTTTGCCTTTTATGTAATAAATAAATAATTTTTAACCTTCTAATTGAAGTGTATCATGCATACAGATAACTGCCCAAATTTGAAGTACTAGAGCCTACTGAGTTATCAAAAAGGGGGATTTTTATTATCATTTGGTAACATCACATGTCCTTGCAGGCAGTCCTTGTTACATGATGTGCTAGTAAAAAAAATCTTCAATTTTTGCCTCCTTTCTTAATTTCTCACGGGGAAATTATAGAAACAGAAATAAGAATTTCATATACATTCTTCAGTAACCATCTTTTGGCAGTTTTGGGGCTCATTGACTTTGTTTCAAAATCATCAAATAGGGTTGCTCTCTCATTGTCTCAGCTAGATTCTGGGTAAGAAAGAACTGGCTGGAAAGAGAGCCAGTGCTCTCAGAACACTCCAAGAAAGGAAGAAATATGCTTACATAAATCTCATCCATACATGAGAACAGAAAGAATGGTAATAAGGTGACCCTTTGAAGAAGTGATAAGGTGAGACTCCTCAGCACAGTTTAGAAGTACATACTTATTGATAACATAGCCAGCAGCTGGAATCATACATATTCTCACCTATATAAGTAAAGAAGCATCTTAATACAAAGCATGTATATAACTACCTCTTACCCTACTCTACCCTCTACCACATATGTACCTATACAGAGAATCTATCACAGTTTTATATCCACAGAAACAGTCTTGTTGACTTATATATACTTATAAGCATACCACTTAAAAAATAGTCCACATGATGTAGACATAGGTAAAATTAAGAGAATATGTAACTGTACACACATAAGTGAATATAGTTTAGGTAAATCTGAATCAGCAAAAACAAAAACACCTCTTATTTGTGAGGATTTGTAAGACAGTATCCTTTACTGTAGCTATAGCTCTATAAATTGTCATTTAAAGTGAGATTCACATTTTAAATCTTCTGAGAAGGATACAACTTTCCCAAGCTTGTTTATTTATGGCTTCTGAGAAACATGTTATAGAAGAGTACAAGGGAAAAGTAATGTCTTGGACGAATATTCAGTTTAGTGTCTTTGTGACTTTGGATAAGTTGTTTGGTCTCTCTGAACCTTACATCCCTTATCTGTATGAAGGATTTTAACAATATACATAGATCTCCTATCACGGTACCTAATACAGAGTAAGTATTTAATGAATGATAACCATATTTTTAAGGATGCATATGCTTAGTAAATCAGGAATTTTTGAGTCTCTGCTATTGAAGAAATCAAGCTTTGCCCTACTCTTGGACCAGACCTGTGAGAGGTACCTTTAATCTCTCTATAACAGTGTAGTTATAAAGCATGGTGTTTGCCATCAGAGGATTAACATAGTTTGCTCCTATGAAGGTGTAAAGAACTAGCTGTTGTCATTCAATTGCTAAGTCGTAGAGAGATAACTGGATCAGAAATACTCTGTGGTATTGTTCCCACATCCAGTGTCAGGTTTGCTTGTTTTGTTTTGATTATACAACAGCAGTTCTCACAGTGTAGTCTGAAGCTCCTTCAGGTGGTAATAGGTATCCCTTTTCCAAGTACATACCCATATGTGGCTGGGTTTTCTGCATGTATTTCAATTTAAACAATATATTAGATACTGCAGAAACAGCTATGAGAGTTCAGCTATTAAGCCAGACATTTAAAGAGATGTTTGAAAATGTAAAATAGTGCCATTCTTCACTAAATTTTTTTAAAATAAAAATAAAGGGTTTTTTGTTTTTGTTTTTTTCCCATAAAAATATGTTACTCTGGGTTGTCACTTTTAAATGAATTAGTATGGGAAAATATTTTTTAATTCTCATTTCTAGTTTTGAATGTGGTAGATTTTGTTTGATAAGACCCTACATAAACAGAAACTCTTTGGAGTTTCTATCTTTAAGTGTGTAAAGGGTTCCTGAGACAAAAATTTCCTTGGAAATCCTGAAAATGAGCAAAGATAGCCTTTTACAAAATGTGGTATGGTACTATCAGAAAATCTTTAGAACTTAACTTTTTCTCTTTGATTAGGTTCTTTAGTAATTGAAGATAAAGAGAGTCAACCACAAATGCCTAAGCAGAATCCTGTCGTGGAACAGAATTCACAGCCACCAGGTGGTTTATCTTCAAACCAGTTATCCAAGTTTCCAACCCAGATCAGCCTAGCTCAGTTACGACTCCAGCATATGCAGCAACAGGTAATGGCTCAGAGGCAACAGGTGCAACGGAGGCCAGCACCTGTGGGTTTACCAAACCCTAGAATGCAGGGGCCCATCCAGCAACCTTCCATCTCTCACCAGGTAAATTTGGAAGCAGGCCTGTCCTAACTTAGATAATTATAATACAGTTGTATTCAGCAGCTGCTAAAATAACCAAGGTGTCCTTCCTCCATGATTTAAATATATTAATTTGTCACATCAAGGGTCCCTAATTTAACTCTAGTTCGTAGCCCTTCTGGAAAAGAAATTAATGGTTTATTCATCTGGGACATCTATTCTCATCTGCTTTTTGTCATCTTTATAACAGAGGATAAATGATTGCATTCCTGAATAACCCATGCATATGAATGATGGGAAACTTGTGTACCTGTAACTCATAATTGTTACATTAATGCTTCAGGATGACTAATGCTTCCGGTATCTGTCCTCTGTGAAGATGCAGCATTTAGAAAACCCAGTGCATCTGGAAACTAGGACAGAATGAAATAGAAAAGGGCAAGGGTGTGGTTTGTTAGAAGTTTGCCTTTTTCAAACTTTATTTGAGCAAATGTTCCATGCACCAGTTTTTTTTTTTTAAGTTTTGTCATCTTTTTATTATAATTTCTTAATTCATAATAAAGATTTCAATCACTGGTGGAGAAATGGGAAAAGCATGTGTTTATTTTCTACTTATCCCTCTCAAGGGTCTGAAGAACATATGCATGTAAATTCTATTTGTGATGTAGAGTGGGTGGAAGAGTCTACACATGTTTTCATATAGTCATAAACTCAACAGGACTAACAATACAGTAACAAGTTCAGAGCATGAATCAAAATCATGATCCTGTGGATTAATTACCGTACATTAGTTAGAAGAGTTGCAATATTAGACAGTATACATTTCTGCTATTGTTATAGACGAAGCTTCTATCCACTCCATTTAGAACAAGTCTTTTTTTTCCCCCCATGTACCATTCTTATTTTAATTCACAAAAATTGTCTCATTATTTTCAGTTCCTTTTATTTCTTAATTTATACTCCCTGTTTCTCAAAATTTGAACTGATTTACAGTAAGTGAACTGAAAGAAGAACTCCCCAGGTTGGTAGGTGCCTAATATGCTAATGGAGATCAGTGGAGAAATAACTTCAGAAAGAATGAAGGAATGGAGTCAAAGCAAAAACAATACCCAGTTATGGATTTGACTGGTGATAGAAGCAAGATCCGATGCTGTAAAGAGCAATATTGCATAGGAACCTGGAATGTTAGGTCCATAAATCAAGGCAAATCGGAAGTGGTCAAACAGGAGATGGCAATAGTGAATGTCAACATTCTAGGAATCAGCAAACTAAAATAGACTGGAATGGGTGAATTTAACTCAGATGACCATTATATCTATTACTGTGGGCAGGAATCCCTTAGAAGAAATGGAGTAGCCATCATGGTCAACAAAAGAGTCCAAAAATGCAGTACTTGGATGCAATCTCAAAAACGACAGAATGATTGCTGTTTGTTTCCAAGGCAAACCATTCAATATCACAGTAATCCAAGCCTATGCCCCAACCAGTAACGCTGAAGAAGCTGAAGTTGAACGGTCCTATGAAGACCTACAAGACCTTTTAGAACTAACACCCAAAAAAGATGTCCTTCTCATTATAGAGAACTGGAATGCAAAAGTAGGAAGTCAAGAAACACCTGGAGTAACAAGCAAATTTGGCCTTGGAGAACAGAATGAAGCAGGGCAAAGGCTAATAGAGTTTTCCCAAGAGAATGCACTGGTCATAGCAAACACCCTCTTCCAACAATACAAGAGAAGACTCTACACATGGACATCACCAGATGGTCGACACCAAAATCAGATTGATTATATCTTTGCAGCCAAAGATGGAGAAGCTCTAAACAGTCAGCAAAAACAAGACCGGGAGCTGACTGTGGCTCAGATCATGAACTCCTTATTGCGAAATTCAGACTTAAACTGAAGAAAGTCGGGAAAACCACTAGACCGTTCATGTATGACCTAAATCAAATCCCTTGTGACTATACAGTGGAAGCGAGAAATAGATTTAAGGGACTAGATCTGATAAACAGAGAGCCTGATGAACTATGGACACAGGTTCGTGACATTGTACAGGAGACAGGGATCAAGGTCATCCCCATGGAAAAGAAATGCAAAAAGGCAAAATGGTTGTCTGAGAAGGCCTTCCAAATAGCCGTGAAAAGAAGAGAAGTGAAAAGCAAAGGAGAAAAGGAAAGATATACCCATTTGAATGCAGAGTTCCAAAGAATAGCAAGGAGAGATAAGAAAGCCTTCCTCAGTGATCAATGCAAAGAAATAGAGGAAAACAACAGAATGGGAAAGACTAAAGATCTCTTCAAGAAAATTAGAGATACCAAGGTAACATTTCATGCAAAGATGGGTTCGATAAAAGACAGAAATGGTATGGACCTAACAGAACCAGAAGATATTAAGAAGAGGTGGCAAGAATACACACAAGAACTCTACAAAAAAGATTTTCATGATCCAGATAATCACGATGGTGTGATCACTCACCTAGAGCCAGACATCCTGGAATGTGAAGTCAGGTGGGTTTTAGAAAGCATCATTACAAACAAAGCTAGAGGACGTGATGGAATCCCAGTTGAGCTATTTCAAATCCTGAAAGATGATGTTGTGAAAGTGCTGCACTCAATATGCCAGCAAATTTGGAAAACTCAGTAGTGGCCACAGGACTGGAAAAGATAAGTTTTCATTCGAATCCCAAAGAAAGGCAATCCCAAAGAATGCTCAAACTACTGCACAATTGCGCTCATCTCACACGCTAGTAAAGTAATGCTCAAAATTCTCCAAGCCAGGCTTCAGCAATACATGAACCATGTACTTCCAGATGTTCAAGCTGGTTTTAGAAAAGGCAGAGGAACCAGAGATCAAATTGCCAATATCCGCTGGATCTTCGAAAAAGCAAGAGAGTTCCAGAAAAACATCTATTTCTGCTTTATTGACTATGCCAAAACCTTCAACTATGTGGATCACAATAAACTGTGGAAAATTCTGAGAGAGATGGGAATACCAGACCACCTGACCTGCCTCTTGAGAAACCTGTATGCAGGTCAGGAAGCAACAGTTAGAACTGGACATGGAACAACAGACTGGTTCCAAATAGGAAAAGGAGTCCGTCAAGGCTGTATATTGTCACCCTGCGTATTTAACTTATATGCAGAGTACATAATGAGAAACGCTGGGCTGGAAGAAGCACAAGCTGGAATCAAGATTGCTGGGAGAAATATCAATAACCTCAGATATGCAGATGACACCACCCTGATGGCAGAAAGGGAAGATGAACTAAAAAGCTTCTTGATGAAAGTGAAAGAGGAGAGTGAAAAAGTTGGCTTAAAGCTCAACATTCAGAAAACTAAGATCATGGCATTTGGTCCCATTACTTCATGAGAAATAGATGGGGAGACAGTGGAACAGTGTCAGACTTTATTTTTGGGGGCTCCAAAATCACTGCAGATGGTGACTGCAGCCATGAAATTAAAAGACGCTTGTTCCTTGGAAGGAAAATTATGACCAACCTAGATAGCATATTAAAAAGCAGAGACATTACTTTGCCAACAAAGGTCCGTCTGGTCAAGGCTGTGGTTTTCCCAGTGGTCATGTATGGATGTGATAGTTGGACTGTGAAGAAAGCTGAGCACCAAAGAATTAATGCTATTGAACTATGGTGTTGGAGAAGACTCTTGAGAGTCCCTTGGACTGCAAGGAGATCCACCCAGTCTATCTTAAAGGAGATCAGTCCTGGATGTTCATTGGAAGGACTGATACTGAAGCTGAAACTCCAATACTTTGGCTACCTCATGCGAAGAAGACCCTGATGCTGGGAGGGATTGGGGGCAGGAGGAGAAGGGGACAACAGAGGATGAGATGGCTGGATGGCATCACCGACTCAATGGGCATGAGTTTGAGTAAACTCCGGTTGTTGGTGATGGACAGGGAGGCCTGGCGAACTGCAATTCATGGGGTCACTAAGAGTCAGACATGACTGAGCGACTGAACTGAACAGTAAGTGACTCAAATGAAATGGCACAGGGATTAATAAGTATTAGTAATGTTCAAAGCATGCAGAACTAGACTAAGAATTCTCATTATGCTTGAGAATAGGACTTAGCTCAGTTTTTGATCAACCAAACAAAAAAAGAATCAGGAATAATATCTATTACTTGATTAAAAGGAAACATGTCATTAGAGGAGAAATTTTTCCTAGTGTTTTTCTAGCACTAAGAGGAATGCATACATAATGCAGTTCTTTTATGAAAAATTAATGGGCATAAAAGCATGTTTTGGTAGCAGTTATACAAGACAGATGATCTTCATAGGAGACTTGCTTCAACCCTGAATAAGACTTATGGGCATGTGTGAATCCTGATTTTGTTAAATTGCTTCTGTGTAGGCCTGAGGTGATTTTATTTGTGATTTATGGCTGTCTGGTAATTTGATTAAGAAGACATGTCAAATCCAAGAGAATATTAATTAGTATGACCAGCTGATTATTGCTCTCGAACTTTGTTTTAACCCAGGTTTTTAAAGGAAGCAAATAGCAAGCAATTTAAAAGGTCTTTGTTTGGTGAGTGTTCTGTGGGAAAAGATGTGTACACTTTTGATCCCAGGAATGCCACTGGCAGGGTTGAAATTTTGTTAAGAAAATGGAGGAATTCTTTTGTTACTCCCCCACAGACTGCAGAGTAACATATTGCAGATAGACTGCAGAGCACCGAAATTGTTTTAGACATATATTTGATAAGGAAAAGAGAGAAAATACTTAATGAGTGACTAGTGCTAAGCATTTACATGACTAATATTTATCTTGAGTATCTGAAAGATGGTAAAGTGATTTTTATTACTTTATTAACCTGAAACAGGATAAATCCATCATTTGTATTAATTCCCTTTTCATTAAAAAGTGAGGAACTGAGGCAGTTACTAGATGCTGTGTGATTCAGTCACATTCTCAGAAACAGCTATTTATAGAAGCAGTAACCAAACAGAAGTGACCTTGATAGAGCCTTTAGCCTGCTTATCTCAGAAATTTGTTCTATCTTATTATTTCTTTCTGTGGTGTACTGCTGTGTGATATATATATAATGTACAATCTTTATTATACAGCCTAATTTTCCCACTTATCAACACATTTGACCCTTGAACAGTTAATTCAGGGGTTAGAAGCACTGACCCTCCATACAGTTGAAAATCCACATATGACTTACAGTCAGCCACCCCCTGCCACCCGCCATGGTTCTTCCACATCCACTGCTCTGCATTTGAGGATTCAACTAAACACAGATTGTGCAGTACTGAAGTATTCACTATTGAAAAAAATCCTTGTTTAAGTGGACCTACATAGTCTAAACCCGTGTTGTTAGAATATCAGCTGTAATTTTCTCATCTTTACGTCATTACTTCACACCCTGCTCTTTTTCTGTCCCTTCTCAGTGACCCCTGAACCCTCTTCTGGTACTATCATCTCTCATTTTTATCTTCTCTCTACCAAATATCTGCTCCTACATTTTTCACTCATCAGTTTTTTCCCTCTTCTTTAAACTTTTACACTGCCCTGCTTACCTGCTTTCTTAGCTCTCTAGCAGTTTATTTGCATGTACATCTGGTAAAATATCTGTCTGTAGACAGGTGTATATGTGTGCCTCTTTGTCATACTCTACCTCTAGCCTGAAGACACGGGTCAGTTTAAAGGCCTGCTCTAAAAATCACTTACTTAGGAGTTCCCTGTTTCTTCCTTCTTTGAAAGTAGCCATGTAATCTGAATGATTAAAGAACTGGGTGATACAGAGCTAGACTACATAGTTATATGACTGTGTGGTACAAACTAATAAACACCCTGCATCTCTTTATTGAGAGGTGTCCAGTATACTCTGTCATACTGCAGTGGACAGCTCGAAGTTTGTTAAATCTGAGTCTGTTATTCCTGGGTCAGATTTTCTGTTCTGCAGAGATACTCTCATTTATATGTATATATTAATTTTCCTAAAGAGTGAGTGGATGTTAGAAGGACATTTGCTATCCTTCATGGTTCTACTGACCTAGAATAAAATTACAACCTATAATAATAAAAGTGTTTATGATAAGGGTGAGGATAATGATAAATATATGTCACTTTACTTAAGCTCCTAATTATTTCTCTATTCTCTCCCTTTTTTCTTCTTGCAGGTTAATTCCATTTAATTAAAATAGCACTGGTTTTGCTGTTTCTTTTATGTTCATAACTAGTTTCTAGTCCTGTTTTTTCAAGTTGCTTTTCCTGTCGTGGAGTTCTTAGAAATTAACTCAGTCAACGATAACAGTTTAGGAGAGGAGATAAAAATCAATCACCTTAGATCTTTCTACACTGGGATTCCTTGATGGGAGAGTGGACGTCCAGTTCCACACTGATTTCTCACAGGAGTATAGTACTCTGGCATCAAATGTCTTTTCTTTTTTTTTTTTTTTCCCCCTGAATGTCATTTCTTGACTGAATCAGTATATAAATCCCAGTCAGGGCAGGAGTAGGCAAGACTTTTATCTGCTTTTGTTCTCCCTTAAGGATCATTTTGGGTGCTTTTCCACTTTTTAAAAAATAGTCTTTTGGAAAAATTTAGAAGTTTTCCACTATACTTCCCCAATTATTTTTTGTTTGTGTTTCTGTGCTATAAAACCCTTCAAGTGAAAAACTTTAATAGAAGAATCAAGAATTGCTATGGCTTCAGGCTTCTGTAAAATTTTGGCATTTTCTCTCTCTTTCTCATATTTTTCTGTTCTTCATCCACAGAATTTCCTTTGATCTTGAAATAGTGTCTAAGTCTACTTTTCACTAGGTCTGTAATTGCTGGTCATTCTTGTAAGTTACTAAGTGTAAACCCAGTGCCAGCTAATTTGCAGGAGAGGAGAAAGAGAAGACATTTACCCAGGAAAGGAGATAAATTCCAAAAATGAGAGAAGGGAAAAAACAAAAAAAGGGCAAGGCTATACTTTATAGCTGTCCGCCTTAAGATGTTGCTACTTCAGCTTTATAAATTCATTTATTTGTCCCCTCTTTGAATATGGGGGTTCATAAGTTCCCTTTCTGAGAACTTCTGGTCGTATACAGTTAATATAGTCTGAAAATAAGTATTTACTTTGCAATAATTTGCCAACCGTAGAATTGGATAGTCAAGATGAGACTGCAGTGTTAAGGTTACCTTTTTTGTGGAACACTGGTGTCAATTTCTAAGGGTAGCATTTGTGAGCAAACTAAGCTTGTCCTTACGCTGTCTTGTAATCAACCAGTGCTGTCCTTGAAGGGTTTCCTTTCAAAATCTGTTTTCTTTTAGAGAAATTCACCCTCTAAACTGTAATTAGTACCTCAACCCCCAGTTAAACACCAGAACATGTTTGACTAATGAAATGACAGACTAGTTTTGGATTAAAACCATAGTGCTGTCTTTAATGAGTTGTGTGACTTTTTCTGGTTATCCCAGCTTTTTAATGTTTAGTGTCCTGATTTGTAAAATGGCAGGGGTAGGGGAGTAATAAAGAACCTCTTGATGAAAGTGAAAGAGGAGAGTGAAAAAGTTGGCTTAAACTTCAACATTCAGAAAACTGAGATCATGGCATCTGGGCCCATCACTTCATGGCAAATAGATGGGGAAACAGTGGAAACAGTGACAGACTTTATTTTTTGGGGCTCCCAAGATCACTGCAGATGGTGATTGCAGCCATGAAATTAAAAGATGCTTGCTCCTTGGAAGAAAAGTTATGACCAACCTAGACAGCATATTAAAAAGCAGAGACATTACTTTGCCAGCAAAGGTCCATCTGGTCAAAGCTATGGTTTTTCCAGTGGTCATGTATGGATGTGAGAGTTGGACTGTGAAGAAAGCTGAGTGCTGAAGAATTGATGTTTTTGAACTGTGGTTTTGGAGAAGACTCTTGAGAGTCCCTTGGACTGCAAGGAGACCCAACCAGTCCATCCTAGAGGAAATCAGTCCTGAATATTCATTGGAAGGACTGATGTCGAAGCTGAAACTCCAATACTTTGGCCACCTGATGCGAAGAGCTGACTCATTGGAAAAGACCCTGATGCTGGGAAAGATTGAAGGCAGGAGGAGAAGGGAACGACAGAGGATGAGATAGTTGGATGGCATCAAAGACTCAATGGACATGAGTTTGAGTAAACTCCAGGAGTTGGTGATGGACAGAGAGGCCTGGCATGCTGCAGTCCATGGGGTTGGAAAGAGTTGGACACAGCTGAGCTTCTAAACTGACTGAAGGGAGTAATAATGAGATAACGTGTAAAACGCCAATTGCAATGTCTGGCATGTAGTTTGATCTCAATAAGATCTAAAATCCACTCATTTTTAAATGTTGTTAATATCATGTGTTTTCATTATGTCTGCGTAGAGTACAGACCTTACAGGTCTGCACAGACTTTAGAGCCGGAGAACTTGAGTTCAAATCTTAGCTCCATTCCTTCCTATCTTTGCTAATCTTGGACAAGTTTCCTTTTCTGTAAAACAGAGATAATCCCTGCCTCCAAGGAGGATCTTTGTGAAGACTAAATGAGTTAACACATGTAAAGCATTTTAACTAGTACTCAACATGTGATAACTACTCAGTATCTATCAGTAATTGTTATTCTACTATCATATTATTTTAGATTTGAAGAGGGCAATTCTTTGCAGAAGGTAGTCATTAGGGACTTAGAAGAATCCCAAAGACAAGTTTTCCCCATTTCCCATTGTGGTCTAGATCTAACTCTGATTGGAAAATCCTCTCCCAAGGGTCTTTTCCTAGTAAAACTTCTTTACTTTAAATGCTTATACACATTCTGGGCGGCTGTCCCCTCCCCCCATACCCTTATTGTAATACTAATAAATGATTCATCTGTGGCAGAATTGCTTTCTTTCTATAAAAGTTATAAAATAGAGTTCTGTAATTCGTCTTTCAGGAGCTGATTGCCACTGAATTGATGTTATATCTTTTTTCCAGCAACCTCCTCCACGTTTGATAAATTTTCAGAATCATAGCCCCAAGCCCAATGGACCAGTTCTCCCTCCTCATCATCAACAACTAAGATACCCATCAAACCAGAATACGCCACGACAAGCAATGAAGCCCAACCCCTTGCAGATGGCTTTCTTGGCTCAACAAGCCATAAAACAGGTGAATTACTTTGTGAATTTCAAAGCTTATTACATACAGACCTAAACAGACAAAGCTAGGAGAAAGGATCTCGATGCTTTGTAATTAACAAGAAAAAATCAAGCTACTTATACAGAAGTAAAGGCCCAAAATAATCAGTCATGGGTATGAATTTTTCAGTATTAACGTGTGTAGCTTTTAGGTGAGTATGGAAGTATTCTAACAAATACAGATGGCATACTTCAAAAGAGACCAATCAGTGAATCTTCAGAGTGTTTCAAGGAGACTTCTTGGAAACAAACTTAGTATCACACAGTTTTAATATGAAGTATTAAACAGTATATATGTACACACACCTGTATATAAGACTGTATTCAGTATTAAGCAGTATACAGTACATATACACCTGATAAAGTTTAATATTTAAGGTTATACATTAAATTTTAGAAGGTTTAATATTTATATTCTTAATGTTTTCAGGTAAGATGCTTTTTAGGTATTACTGTTGTAAAAAGCTAAAGTTCTCCAAATACTTGTGTCACGTCTTTCCAGCTTACAACTAGTAGATTGATTTCAGTTTAATTTTTTTTGCCAAGACCAAAATAAAGAATATGATGTTATTCCCCATAATTCTGTGATATTCATTTTAATCAAATGATTTTAAAGTCATATTCTAAAAGTATACATGCTGTATCTGTGTTTTTATAATTACTTTGACCTTGATATAAATTTTCTAAAATGACATTTTGACATTTTAATTATTTTCAATAAAATTTATACCTATCTATATTTCATCATTAGAGATGAGGTGAATAGAGACCAAGCTACAGTTAGATCTTACATTCTGATTATTTTCCTAATACTTTTTGTGGCCTTGTACAAGTTTACTGTCTTAAATCTCATTTGCCCCTACTATTAAATGAGTGAGTACCTTGCAGAGTTGTGCTGAGACTTAGATGGTAGTGTGTATAGAAGCACCTACCACATTCTGGGTACTCATGTTTATCTCCCTCATAGCTGTGTAACATGGGTTTGATCCCTGATTGGGACGATCTCGCATGCACTGGGGCAATTATTGTGCTGCTCCAGTTGCTATGTGTACAACTGTTAGGCCTGTGCCCTACAGCCCAGGAGCCACAACTACTGAGCCTTCACTTGTTTGTTTATTTTTGGCTGTGCTGAGTCTTCACTGCTGCTCGGGCTTTTCTCTAGTTATGGAGAGGGGGCTACTATCTAACTGCAAGGCACGGGCTTCTCATTTCAGTGGTTTCTCTTGTGGAGCACAGGCTCCAGGGCATGTCGGCTCAGTAGTTGTGGCTCCTGGGCTCTAGAGCACAGGCTTAATAGTTGTGGTACACAGGCTTAGTTGCTCCACGGTATGTGAGGTCTTCCCAAATCAGGGATCAAACCCGTGTCTCCTGCATTAGCAGGCAGATTCTTTACCACTGAGCCACCAGGGAAGTCCTCTGTGTATTATTTTTAATGGGTAGACACACACTCTAAGAGTGTTTTTTAAAATGTTTTCTGGTCAAAAGTCTAAACATGAATGAATAAATAAACTAGGAAGAAAATATAGTGGAGAGTTTGTCTTAATAAAATTGCTTAAATTATAATATACTGGTACAGTGGAAATGCTTTCTAGCTAATAAGAAAAGGCAGTAATCTATATATGATCTTCTAAGTATATATGGGAAGAAACATCAAATTTTTGCGAGTGTTTTTATTTTTTTTTGTTTAATTTCATATACATAGAAGAAACCTGGAAAGATACACATGAACTGTAACTGTGCTTGTTCTGGAGTGGGAAGGAAGAAGAGAGACAGATGGATGGATAGGTGTGAGGGGTGGGTGGTAGGTGGTTAAGTTGGCATTCATATTCAGAGTTTTTTGCTTAGTTTTTTACTTAGTGGAGAATATAAATTAGGTTTTTCAAAGTTAGAATATTTCTGTCACTGTCTCTCTGTATTGTGTTGTCCCTATATAAATGATACTGTGTTTGGGAGTTTTTTCCTCTGCATGGTCTTAAGATACCTCTTAGCTGCTTTTTTTCTCCTCAAGTATTTTATCATAAAATTTTCAAACTTAGTTGAGAGAGTTGTATAGGGGACAGATTGCTTTATTTGCTGTCTCATTTGTTATCTGTATATCCATTTATCCATTCATCCATCAGTCAAACCTTCTTACTTTTGATAGGTTTCAAAGTAAATTTTAGACAGCAGGGTGGTTCATCTCTGTATACTTTAGCATTCCTAGAATTAATGGGTTTATCTCAGCCTGTAACATAAATGACAGTTTTCTCAGATGTTTCTTGATGCTTAGTTGCCTGTTTGTATATAAGGAATGGGTGTTTTTTAAAAAACTGAAAACTGGGATGTGGGGCTATTGTTTAATGCTGAATTTTGCTCTTGTGTGAGGGCTGCTTGGCATGTTTATTAGGAGAGTTACTGATGTCGCCGTCTTTAGGTAATGGTTCAGTTCCCAAAAGATCTCTTTGTTTCATGCCTGAAATGCAGGGCCTGATGCTCATTGAAGATCAGCATTCAGTGTGTGTATGGCTTCTTAATCTTCATTTTCAGTGTAATACTTCTGCCTTCAACTGAGCCTGGTGCCCATGAGTCCAAAGACACTGTTTTACCTATTCTGGAAACATAATTTCCAGTCTTATTTTGTGGAGGTGAAGGAAGTCCTTATTATTTTGGGGTAGCTACAGTAGGAAGGGAACATAAGATTTAATCCTTAAACTCTCAACGATCGTCCTGTTTTTAGTTCTTTGTCTTTAGGGTCAATGTGTTGTTTTGGGGAAAAAAAAAAAATTCCCTTAACGGTCATTTTAGTATCAGGTAGGGACAGAAGAAAATGTGTGTTTTCAGTGCTCTATCTTTATTTGTAGTTGCTATGTACATGTTTATATTTCTTTTCTGATGTTTATAAGCTTTCCAAGATTGGTTGCTATGGTTTTTTGGTGTATACTGTTGTCTTCTGGGAGAAATCAGTGCTTTTTATTATTTATGTTTGGAGAGAATTACTGAAAATTATATATACCAGTGTCCTCTCCCCATTCCATGAAAATTACAGTTGAATTCAAATAGTAGAATGTGTCTTTTACTTTGTCTTGTGTCTGGAACAGGGATTAGATGGACATTTTATGTAACAGGCTTGCTGATAAGCCACCTTTCTTGTTACTTCTTGCTACCACAGTGGCAGATCAGCAGTGGGCACGCGGCCCCCTCGACTGCCAACAGCACGTCCTCTACTCCCTCCAGCCCCACCATTACTAGTGCAGCAGGGTATGATGTGAAGGCTTTCGGCTCACCTGTGATTGATTTGAGCTCACCAGTGGGAGGTCCCTACAATCTTCCTTCTCTCCCAGATGTAAGTATACACAAAATTTCTACTAAAGAATCTGTTTCAGAAATTTGTTGTTGTTGTTGTTTCAGAAATTTTAAGTGAACTTGAATCTGGTGAAAGGCCATGGGTGTGTTGGATTATAGGCTGTGTGTTTGTGTTTGGAAGTTGTTTTTATCCTTTAAAAATTTTGTAACAGCAGGAATCATAAAAAGATTAGTATTAACACATATACTACAGAATGTCTTTCAGGGCACTGGAGTTAATGAGTTAGTGAATGATTACGGTGATTAATTATGGAATCTAAGCTAGGGAAGGAGGGAAGTGAAAACATGGGAGGAGAATTTCTGGAATGTAATTTATTAAAATAGGGTTAGAGAGTAAGGCTAACATTTAAGACATCAGAAGGGTTGGAGACAGGTTTAATAAGAGAAATGATAACATTTTACTGACAAGTGCAGTATTACCTCTGATTTCTTTTTTATTTAAGTTAAATAACATTTACCTCTAAACTGGTTGTCAGTATGACTTTTTAATCAGTCTGTTTTGAGACTTCCCTGCCAGTCCAGTGGTTAAGACTCTGCAATTCCAGTGCAGGGGGTGTGGGTTTGATCCATGGTCAGGGAACTAAGATACCACATGCCCTGTGGCATGGCTCAAAAAGAAAATTTTTTTTCAAGACAGAAAATATAACATTGAAGAAACAAATCAATTACACATGAACTGATATATGTTTTACCTTTTTTATCCTACAAGCTTAGGTAATCACTTATGCAAACATTAAGAACGTTTAAGAAATCTTGTAGGATTGTGAAGGAAATCTAAAATTTTATATTATTTACTTTTTCAAATTACTGAGATCAACTCATATTTCCTAAAAGTTGAATCATTAACCTTACTGGAGTTACTTCATTTTTAAATAATTATATATTATTTAAATGGGTAGAGTATATGTGTTTTATTTTCATGCATAGATAATAGGAAAACTTTTGTTCATTCCTATAATTTTATTTTAGCTTTTAGGATTCCTCCACAGTATAAATAACTTTTATTACATTAAGATCTAACAAATCTAGTCAATCCAGTACTTATTGCACTCTGGCCATAAGTATTGTATTGGCCAAGGTAGTGCCCAAAGAATATAAGGAAAATAACCCCATTTACTTCCCTCCTCCCCCAACTGAAAGAGGACCCACAGAAAGTAAAATTTCCTCTACAGCCCTCAAATACAGATGACCCTTTGTGTACCATCCTTTCTCAACTGAGATTCCTCATCTGAACCACAGAAGAAAGAAACTGCTTTAAGGGACTATTTCCTCCGTCCTTCCAAGGTTTCTTCATAACTAGTACCATTCTAGATGCAGAGGCAAGAAGTAAATTCATTATATACAGTCTATGCCCTTGGAATGTAGGACTTAATTTTCTTGAAGAATCTTGATTGAGAAAGGCTGGAACTATTAAGCTGGATTTTAATCACAAAGACATTCTTAGGAAATGTATATTTAAGCATTAAAAATATTTGCATCCAAAGGGAGGTAGGAGAGGGTTGGATTGGGAGTTTGGGATTAGCTCATGCAAACTGATATATATAGAATACACAAGCAACAAGGATTAGCAATGAAGAACTGCAGCACAGGGAACTATATTCAGTACCCTATGATAAACCATAATGGAAAAGAATATGAATAATAATGTATATATGTATAACGGAATCACTTTTTTGTACAGCAGAAATTAGCAAAACATTGTAATTCAATTATACTTCAATAAAAAATAAAATTTTAAAAATTTGAATCTTAGTAGAAGTCTTAGTAGAAATATATCAGTAGTTTGGCTTAGCAGTCAATTGCTAAGCCAAATAAATATAAATGTGTTAAAGCAAGAATCTACAGGGGATCAGATTTTTCCTATCAAACATTAATAATATATTTAAGTGAAGTTAATGTTCTTGAAATGTGTGATATGTGGACTTGTTTCATCTATCTAGTGCATACCAGAGCATGAGTTCTCAAAGTATGGGCCAGGAATATGAGGGTCTGTACAACCTTTTCAGAGACTCTACAGGTCCTCCCTGTGTAAGACCAGATTTTCTTCATATTCTTTAGCCACAATCAACATCTGAGCAGATCGAGAAAATATATCAGATTCCAGTTGGCTGTTATTAAACCAGACACTAAAGAAATTTGTAAAATGTGAAATTTTGCTGCTCGTCTCACCAAGTTTTTTTTTTAATTGGTACTTCTATTATCTTTAAATAAAATTTTTAAAATAATTTTGTTTTCACTTTTAAGGAGGTAGCACACAGTATTCCTTTCCTCCTGGCTTATGAGCTGTGAAATAGTGTGACCTCGGTATATTTACTATGAAGAAATATTAAGAAGTATGAGAGCTTTTTTCCAAGATTGTTTATGGGGAAAATATATATCAGAACTTCTCAAAAGGATATTTACATCTACTAAAATTTTCTTATAAAGTAGCTTTTAAATTTAAAGTAGCCGAGTCAACCAAAAATTTAGAGAAGAGCTAACACCTATCTTACTCAAACTCTTCCAGAAAATTGCAGAAGAAGGTAAACTTCCAAACTCATTCTATGAGGCCACCATCACCCTAATTCCAAAACCAGACAAAGATGCCACAAAAAAAGAAAACTACAGGCCAATATCACTGATGAACATAGATGCAAAAATCCTTGACAAAATTCTAGCAAACAGAATCCAACAACATATTAAAAAAATCATACACCATCACCAAGTAGGCTTTATCCTAGGAATGCAAGGATTCTTTAATAGCCACAAATCAATCAATGTAATACACCACATTAACAAATTGAAAGATAAAAACCATATGATTATCTCAATAGATGCAGAGAAAGCCTTTGACAAAATTCAACACTCATTTATGATTAAAACTCTCCAGAAATCAGGAATAGAAGGAACATACCTCAACATAATAAAAGCTATATATGACAAACCCACAGCAAGCATTACCCTCAATGGTGAAAAATTGAAAGCATTTCCCCTGAAATCAGGAACAAGACAAGGGTTCCCACTCTCACCACTGCTATTCAACATAGATTTGGAAGTTTTGGCCACAGCAATCAGAGCAGAAAAAGAAGTAAAAGGAATCCAGATAGGAAAAGAAGAAGTGAAACTCTGTTTGCAGATGACATGATCCTCTACATAGAAAACCCTAAAGACTCTACCAGAAAATTACTAGAGCTAATCAACGAATACAGTAAAGTTGCAGGATATAAAATTAACACACAGAAATCCCTTGCATTCCTATTCATTAACAATGAGAAAACAGAAAGAGAAATTAAGGAAACAATACCATTCACCATTGCAACAAAAAGAATAAAATACTTAGGAGTATATCTACCTAAAGAAACAAAAGAACTATACATAGAAAACTATAAAACACTGATGAAAGAAATCAAAGAGGACACAAATAGATGGAGAAACATACTGTGTTCATGGATTGGAAGAATCAATATTGTCAAAATGGCTATACTACCCAAAGCAATCTATAGATTCAATGCAATCCCTATCAAGCTACCAACGGTATTTTTCACAGAACTAGAACAAATAATTTCACAATTTGTATGGAAATACAAAAAACCTCAAATAGCCAAAGTAATCTTGAGAAAGAAGAATGGAACAGGAGGAATCAACCTGCCTGACTTGAGACTCTACTACAAAGCCACAGTCATCAAGACAGTATGGTACTGGCACAAAGACAGAAATATAGATCAATGGAACAGAATAGAAAGCCCAGAGATAAATCCACGAACCTATGGACACCTTATCTTCGACAAAGGAGGCAAGGATATACAATGGAAAAAAGACAACCTCTTTAACAAGTGGTGCTGGGGAAACTGGTCAACCACTTGTAAAAGAATGAAACTAGAACACTTTCTAACACCATACACAAAAATAAACTCAAGATGGATTAAAGATCTAAATGTAAGACCAGAAACTATGAAACTCCTAGAGGAGAACATAGGCAAAACACTCTCCGACATGAATCACAGCAGGATCCTCTATGACCCACCTCCCAGAATATTGGAAATAAAAGCAAAAATAAACAAATGGGACCTAATTAAACTTAAAAGCTTTTGCACAACAAAGGAAACTATAAGCAAGGTGAAAAGACAGCCCTCAGATTGGGAGAAAATAATAGCAAATGAAGCAACAGACAAAGGATTAATCTCAAAAATATACAAGCAACTCCTGAAGCTCAATTCCAGAAATATAAATGAGCCAATCAAAAAATGGGCCAAAGAACTAAACAGACATTTCTCCAAAGAAGACATACAGATGGCTAACAAACACATGAAAAGATGCTCAACATCACTCATTATCAGAGAAACGCAAATCAAAACCACAGTGAGGTACCATTACACGCCAGTCAGGATGGCTGCTATCCAAAAGTCTACAAGCAATAAATGCTGGAGAGGGTGTGGAGAAAAGGGAACCCTCTTACACTGTTGGTGGGAATGCAAATTAGTACAGTCACTATGGAGAACAGTGTGGAGATTTCTTAAAAAACTGGAAATAGAACTGCCATATGACCCAGCAATCCCACTTCTGGGCATACACACTGAGGAAACCAGATCTGAAAGAGACACATGCACCCCAATGTTCATCGCAGCACTGTTTATAATAGCCAGGACATGGAAGCAACCTAGATGCCCATCAGCAGACAAATGGATAAGGAAGCTGTGGTACATATACACCATGGAATATTACTCAGCCGTTAAAAAGAAATCATTTGAATCAGTTCTAATGAGATGGATGAAATTGCAGCCCATTATACAGAGTGAAGTAAGCCAGAAAGATAAAGAACATTACAGCATACTAACACATATATATGGAATTTAGAAAGATGGTAATGATAACCCTATATGCAAAATAGAAAAAGAGACACAGATGTACAGAATAGACTTTTGGACTCTGGGTGAACGTGAGGGTGGGATGTTTCGAGAGAACAGCATGTATATTATCTATAGTGAAACAGATCACCAGCCCAGGTGGGATGCATGAGACAAGTGCTCTGGCCTGGTGCACTGGGAAGACCCAGAGGAATCGGGTGGAGAGGGAGGTGGGAGGGGGTATCGGGATGGGGAACACATGTAACTCCATGGCTGATTCATGTCAATGTATAACAAAACCCACTGCAATGTTGTGAAGTAATTAGCCCCCAACTGATAAAAATAAATGAAAAATAATAATAATAAAATAAAGTAGCTGAGTCAGAATGCCATGAAATAATTTCTTTTCTTACCAGATTGACTGTTCAAGTACTATTATGCTGGACAACATTGTGAGGAAAGATACTAGTACTGAGCATGGCCAGCCACGACCACCCTCAAACAGAACTGTCCAGTCACCGAATTCATCAGTGCCATCTCCAGGCCTTGCAGGTAAAGTGGACTTATAAAAATTTTACTAGTTTTTTTCAGTTTTTACTTATAATTTTAAAAGGCTCACCCTCCACCTTCCCTTTTTCTCTTGGATGATTAAAATGGATCTGTGTTTTAGGTAATCTTTGAAATTACTGTACTTTCAAAGTGGGAAGCAAAGGTTAAGCCTCTCAACATTTTCAGTTTCAAGAGAACTTAGAGGCACCATAGCACACACTCCTAGGAGGAAATTGCTATTTTACTTTCTCTTTTAGATAAGCTGCCTATAGTATCATCTCTTTTTGTATAGAATTTGCCTAGAGTTAAAATGTCTCAGTAACAATCACTTTTTTTGTTGATTGCTCCTACCCTGGTTTGGTGTTTGTGTTTTAAGAATTTTGGACAGAACTACTTATTTCCTCCAAGAGAGAAGCCCTCTGACTAATGCTGCTACTCCCAGAGACCTTGGCAAATTAGATGCCTTAGACCAAATTAGGAAAGAGGAGAATCTCTTAGGCCATTCACTAGTCCCACATAATATAGCAGTTTTAGAATTTTTTTTTTTTATTTTATTATTTTTTTTATCACAACCATAGTGTATCTTTTTTTTTTTTTTTTTTTACATGTATTCCCCATCCCGGTCCCCCCTCCCACCTCCCTCTCCACCCAATCCCTCTGGGTCTTCCCAGTGCACCAGGCCCGAGCACTTGTCTCATGCACCCAACCTGGGCTGGTGAACTGTTTCACCTAGATAATATACGTGTTTCAATGCTGTTCTCTTGAAACATCCCACCCTCGCCTTCTCCCAGAGTCCACAAGTCTGTTCTATACATAGGAGTCTCTTTTTCTGTTTTGCACATAGAGTTATCGTTACCATCTTTCTAAATTCCATATATATGTGTTAGTATACTGTAATGGTCTTTATCTTTCTGGCTTACTTCGCTCTGTATAATGGGCTCCAGTTTCATCCATCTCATTAGAACTGATTCAAATGAATTCTTTTTAATGGCTGAGTAATATTCCATGGTGTATATGTACCACAGCTTCCTCATCCATTCATCTGCTGATGGGCATCTAGGTTGCTTCCATGTCCTGGCTATTATAAACAGTGCTGCGATGAACATTGGGGTACACGTGTCTCTTTCAGATCTGGTTTCCTTGGTGTGTATGCCCAGAAGTGGGATTGCTGGGTCATATGGCAGTTCTATTTCCAGCTTTTTAAGAAATCTCCACACTGTTTTCCATAGTGGCTGTACTAATTTGCATTCCCACCAACAGTGTAAGAGGGTTCCCTTTTCTCCACACCCTCTCCAGCATTTATTGCTTGTAGACTTTTGGATAGCAGCCATCCTGACTGGTGTGTAATGGTACCTCATTGTGGTTTTGATTTGCATTTCTCTGATAATGAGTGATGTTGAGCATCTTTTCATGTGTTTGTTAGCCATCTGTATGCAATTTTAAGAGAGGTACTTATTTAAAACATAAACAAACTGAAAGGAAATTGTTGACAAAAGATGGCAGAGAAACTGTTAATTATGTAGCAAGTTCATACAAATGAATAAGAAAAGCACACAGTATCACCAAAGGACCCTGCAGCGCATGTGCTCAGTCATGTCCGATTCTTTGTAACCCCAGGGACTGTAGCCCACCAGGTTCCGCTGTCCACGGGATTTTCCCAGCAAGAATACTGAAGTGGATTGCCATTTCCTTCTCCATGAGTAGATTACTCCCTAAAGAGGAAATAACTCCCTAAAGTGAGGGGACGGGAGGAAGAAAGATGCGTGGTTCCATCTCACCAGTAGTCATGAAATCAAAAGACATGATTTCTAACTATTGAATAAGCAAGATTTCAACAGTGAAAATACTCACTGGTAAGGATGTAATGGGAGAAATGCTCTGATACATTGCTGGTGGGAGTATAACTTGACACATTTCTAGAAACCATTTTAGCAGGATTACTAAAGCTAACTTTACTCAGTACTGACTCTGTGTCCAGCACAGGGCAAAGTACCTTCTACACATCGCTCCAGTGTCTTCCATTAATTAGTCTCTGTGTGGATTTCTTTCTTGGACTGCTTTTATATCAGCCCGACCAACTTTTTATTGTCGTCTGAAGCTTTTGCTGACATTAGTGTCCTCACTAAGCTCCTACCCTGGTTACTCTCATGTGGAACATTCAACAGTGTTTGGGGACATTTCTGATTCTTACACCCCTGGATGCTGTGTATGTAGAGATGCTACTGGCATCTAATGACTGGTAGAGGCCAGGGGGCTGCTTGGCATCCTTACATTGCACATACAGCCCCCACATCAGAGAATTATCTGGCCCTAAATGGGGTCGCGAAGAGTTGGACATGACTGAGTGACTGAACTGAACTGGACTGAACTGAACTGTCAGCAGTGCTGAGGTTGAACAGCCCTGCTACTTCAGGGCACTGCAGCTCTGCTGGGAGTTCAGCAGTTACTTTTTGTTTAATAAAATTTCATTATGTGTTTCCAGTTTCAGTGTAGTACTAAGTGAGAACATTCAGTAGGAATTAAATACAGATATTCATTTTATGAATGTGTATGATTTCTTCCTCCTCAGGACCTGTTACTATGACCAGTGTCCACCCACCAATACGTTCACCTAGTGCCTCCAGCGTTGGGAGCCGAGGAAGGTAAACTGACACAACTTACTGTCCAGTGTATAATAATTATATACTACATGTTAATGAAATAAATTAATGGGTTAATCAATTTTGTATCTTTATCTTTAAAGATACAAAAAGATCTGTGCATGTGTTGAAAATTAGAAAATACATCTGAGTTTAGCATCCTAGCAAGGAAAAGCAGAAATGATATATGTGTAACACACTGCACTGTATAGGGACATGCACAGATAAAAACTTAGGGAAAACAAGTAATAATTTTATACTAAAACTGGCATTCTGACTTTTCTAAATACCATGCGTTGAATTTGCTTTAAAATAAATTAATTTACAGTTGTTGAAATTGTATTTTAATTTCCGTTACACACCACTCATACTGCTTGCAAATTTCTGATCAATAGTGAGTCCAATTCTTTTTTTTTTTCCCTTGTTGCTCACTTTTTTTTTTCATTTATTTTTATTAGTTGGAGGCTAATTACTTTACAATATTGTAGTGGTTTTTGTATGTTTTTCCTCCATATGATTAGGAAGTAAGAATAGTGAGTCCAATTCTTATTTCCTAATCGTATGGAGGAAACATACTCTGAAGGGGAGACATTTGCATTTAAGAGAACATAGTACCTATCTGTAAAAACTTTTGTTTTTTAAAATAGCAGTTCTGATAGCTTACCATCAGATTCCTTATCTCCAAAGAAGATTTAGCTTCCAGATCAGAGACCAGGCTTGATCACTCAGGGCTTTTCTGTGACAGAAGTTTTATTACAGTGGAAAAGGCCAGAGAAAGCTTCTGACATAGACATCAGAAGGGGGGTGGAGAGTGCCCCAGTCACTAGTCTTAGCAAGAAAGCTATATACTTTTTCAGTTGGTTATTAACAAGAAATCAAAAGACTGACTCAAGGTTGTAAAGGTCTAACCAGACCCACTCCCACAATTTACATTTTAAGATAATGGGATTAGAACTAACAATGGAAAGAGCTTACCAGACCCACTCCCACAACATACACTTTAAGATGACAGGATTAGTCATAAGGTTCTTCAGAAGGAGAAACATGTCCTGGAGTAGGATACACTGTTGTTATATAATTATTGGTACAGAGTTTAAAGAAAAACATACCCTTGAGCAAGATAAGTTGTTTTGTTGTGTAATCATTAGCTCTGGGCTTAAAGAAAAAAAAGTTCTAGGTGAGTGATCACACCATCTTGGTTATTAGAAACCATCTGGGTTAAGATCTTTTTTTGTGTAGTATTCTGTTAGTTCTAATCCTGTCATCTTAAAATGTAAATTGTGGGAGTGGGCCTGGTAAGACCTTTACAACCTTGACTGTAATAACCAATTGAAAAAGTGTACAGCTCCCTTGCTAAGACTAGTGAGGACGCACTGTCCTTCACCCTTCTGATGTCTGTATCAGAAGCTTTCTCTGTCCTTTTTATACTTTAATAAAACTCTGCCACAAACACACACAAAAAAAGTTTTCTGTGACTAAGATGCAAGAATGTAGGAAAAAAAGTTTGTCTTTTTCTTTTCCTCAAGAGCCCCAGGCCCCTTTCTCCTTAGGACCCCAGACTTCTTACCAACCTACCTAAGAATTAACTCTCATACAAATGAATTATGTCCCTAGTTAATTCTCTTCACTCTTTGAGCCTAGAGTTCTCTTTTTCACTGACTAGAGAAGGAAATGGGAAAGACTAAAAAAAGTGCTAATTCTAAGATGGTTCTAAGATCTGGGTGCCTAATTTTAGAACCTTAGAATATTGAAGTCAGTTTTAATTCAGGATTTATTTAAATGTATTTAAACATCTTTCCAGGTATATAATGTAACTATTTAGGTAGATTAACACATGGAACACTTTTTTATACATAAATGAGATTATTTTGCATATAACAGATGCATTTCAGTTATGTATCATTTTTACTGATGTAACATAGTTATCACTGCCATGAAGATACAGCATTATTCCCATAAAGCTATTGTTATACCTCTTTTTAAGATACTTAAAGTAGCTTTCTTAGATTTTGTTTTCTTTCCTTTTTTCTTATATTTCTAGCTCTGGCTCTTCCAGCAAACCAGCAGGAGCTGATTCTACACACAAAGTCCCAGTGGTCATGTTGGAGCCAATTCGAATAAAACAAGAAAACAGTGGACCACCTGAAAATTACGATTTTCCTGTTGTAATAGTGAAACAAGAATCAGACGAAGAGTCCAGGGCTCAAAATGTAATTATGATTGCAGTACTACTCCTACTTGAGGGATAAGATGAAAGGAACTTTTAAATAGATTGTAGGAAATAAAAGCTATTGTATTTAAAGGCAGAAAAATAGTCAACTTAAAGGTTGAAAACTTTGAGGAAATCTCTCAGTAGATCAAAACAAGAGGCTTATTAAATGAGGAGGTTGGGTATTTGAAAGAGAGAATAAACTACATGGAAGGTAATTGTCAAAGCAATACTACATGGAAACTTCCTATAACTGGAGGGCAGTTCTAGTGAGTAGTGAAAGTTGCTCAGTCGTGTCCAACTCTTTGCGAAAGCTGTTCAGTTGTGTCCAATTCTTTGCTACCTGAGATTCTCCAGGCCAGAATACTGGAGTGGGTAGCCGTTCCCTTCTCCAGGGGATCTTCCCAACCCAGGGATTGAACGAGGGTCTCCTGCCTTGCAGGCGGATTCTTTACCAACTATCAGGGAAGCCCAACTGAGGGCATGAGCATCTGAGTTGTAAGGGCCTACCAAGTACCAGAACAAATAAATGAAAAAAAATGCAAGTCATATGTACCATCATCAATTTTAGAATGACAGTGTTCTAAACAGATTCTTAAAGCCTCCAGAGGAGAAAAACACCTTACATAATGGATCAGATATTTTAATGTCACCAAGTCCTCCACACAGACTCACAAAGCTGGAAACGAATAGAGAAATATCAAAATTGTGAAGAAAGATGTTTTGTAGGGAGGATTCTGTACCCATTCAAATGATTATGTATAAAGATGAAATAAACATTTTTAGACATGCATGCAGCTTCTCAAAAATTTAATTCCATGTACTCATTCTGAGGAAGATATTTGAAAATATGCTTCATCGAAAATGAAGTAAACCCAGAAAGAGGAAGACATAGAATTCCAGAAATAGGATCTAACACAGAAGAGAGGCAAAGAAAAGGGTAGTTAGTCCCCAGTTTAACAGCTCCACTTGTATACCCTGTAGGGGGACAGAAGACTCCATTAGGGATGTGTGAAGGGGGAGAAAAAAACTTTGACAGTATGGAGAAGCATTTTATAACTCTGTTGGAGATTGTGAGAATAACTTAGAGATAGATATCTAGAAAAATAAGCAAATGGATTAAATTTTAGAGTAAGGTAATTGACAGTGACAGATTTTATGTTCTCAGGCTTCAAAATGACTGCAAACAGTGACTGCAACCACAAAATTAAAAGACAGTTGCTCCTTGGAACTAAAGCTATGACAAACCTAGACAGTGTATTAAAAAGCAGAGACATCACTTTGCTGACAAAGGTCTGCATAGTCAAAGCTGTGGTTTTTCCAGTAGTCATGTATGGATGTGAGAGTTGGACCACAAAGAAGGCTGAGTGCCAAAGAATTGGTGCTTTTGAACTGTGGTGCTGGAGAAGACTCTTGAGAGTCCCTTGGACACGGGAGATCAAACCAGTTGATCCTAAAGGAGATCAACCCTGAATATTCATTGGAAGGACTGATGCTAAAGCTGAAGCTCCAGTACTCTGGCCACCTGAAGCAAAGAGCTGACTCATTGGAAAAGACCCTGATGCTGAGAAATATTGAGGGCAGGAGGAAAAGCAGATGACAGAGGATTAGATGATTGGATGGCATCACCAACTCCTGTGAAGGACAGGAAAGCCTGGTGTGCTGCTGTTCATGGGGTCACAAAGAGTTGGATATGACTTAACTGACCAACAACAATTATTGACTCATAGTCAAAAACAAAAAGTTAGACAAAAGAGGAAGTGATCATAGTACATACTGTGGTTATGCAATGAACAGTATATAGTCATAATGATATAAATAAACACTGAAATACAAATTTAAATAAGAACTAGATATAATCAAAATATAACCTGAACATGCATTTGACCAAAAATTGATTTTTCAGGATACTTAACCAGTACAGCAGTGATACTGACCAGTTAGAATAAATGCTGGCTATAACAATTATACTTGCCCCTGCCAACTAAAAAGGAATCAGTGCTTAATAAAACTATGTTAAGAAGATGGCATAAATGGTGTGTTAAGTATAAGGAGGATGTGGAGAGTCAGGAAGGAAAAATCTAATCTTGCATAGTATGAAAAATACATACATGTGTAATAAAACAGAAAATCTTTAAAAGTTAAATCTGGAAAATTACAGTATAAGCATACTCTTTAGAAATATAGAACTAACTAGCATAGGAAAAAGCTAAATAATTTGAAAATAATTACCTCCAAAGAATGATATTAGAATAACCATGCCTTTAACTGAATCTACATTTTATTACTTAAGAATTTATTTTAACATTTAAAGGAAATAACATTTAGTTCTTATTTTAAATTTTCACCATTCTAGGCTCCAACATAAAATTTAGGTTCACCTTAAAGTTATTAATGGCACTTGGAGAGGTGAAATTACCAATAAGAATTAAAGCAGTATACCTTTCTAAGAATGATTTAAAAAAAAAAATCTACAGTAGGAATGTTTTGTGTTTGGGTATAATTTGAATTAACGTCTCCAGCAAAATGTATTTACAGTTTCCATGGTTGACTTCTACATTAACCACCTATTCCCCCCACTTCTGAAGCCGTCGAAAAGATTTTTCCTGTATTATCCCACACCCCCGTACTGCTGCTGATCTTCCATTTGGAAGATGTTTTTCAGTAGAGGTCCATGTTTTCTTTACCATTAGGGCCAGGTAGCAGTAAGCACACTCTGCTCTCCTGCAGATTCATGGACTCCTTTGAAATAACCAGGTGCTCATGAGTAAGCAAACTACAATCCAGAATTGCAGTAGTGCTGATAAAGGATGGCAGTTTAAGAAATCCATATACATAGTTAACTCTTTCCATTGCAGACCAACTATCCAAGAAGCATACTGACCTCCCTGCTTCTAAATAGCAGTCAGAGTGCTGCGTCTGAGGAGTCTGTGTTGAGATCAGATGCCCCTGACAGCACAGGAGATCAACCTGGACTTCACCAGGAAAACCCCTCAAGCGGAAAGTCCGAGTGGCTCGATGCCTCCCAGAAGTCTCCCCTTCATGCTGGGGAGACAAGGAAAGAGGATGACCCCAATGAGGACTGGTGTGCAGTTTGTCAGAATGGAGGGGAGCTCCTGTGCTGTGAGAAGTGTCCCAAAGTATTCCACCTCTCCTGTCACGTGCCCACACTGGCAAATTTTCCAAGGTAAGATGGCACTTGCTTCCCTTGCTTACAGTCTTTCACTATATATAATAACAGCAATGACATTTGATGATCCTGTAACACAAAACCTTTTTTTTAAACACAAAACCTTTGTAAAAATTTAAATAGAAATCCACTTGGCATAAATGTATATGCAAAAATGTTCAGCATAGGGTTTTCCATACCCTGTCTACCATTTTCCTTTGCTTCTCTCATCTCTCAAAAACCTAGTCTGTTACGTCAAGGAAAAAAAAACATAGCTGGCCTTTTAAATTATTACAAGGGAATTACCATGAAGAACAATGGTTTTTATGCACAACTGTCATAATTTAGTGCATCTTATTTGCCAGGCATTTGAGTTTTATTGTTTATAAACATCTTCAGTAAATTCTTAGACCTTATGAGATGATAATAATAGAGAACAACCATTGTATAATTTCAAACTTAAAGTTACAAGAATAGTACCAAGAGTGTTTCTTTTTCTTTAATCATTTGGGGGAAAATGCCATTTGTGCCTCACATCAGCCATAGATTAATGTGTGTGTTTTATTTGTTTTCTTTTGTGTGTATGTTTCATGCCCCCTTCACTGGACTAACACCCCTTAGGCCCATGAACTGTATTTCTGTTGGTAGGCTCTCAGCATGGTGCCATGTACATAGGCGATAGGTAGTAAATCCTCAGTGATTTAACAGTTATGCCAAATAAATAATTCTGCATTACAGATGGCACGGAGCAGGGTGGGAAAGGGAGGTGGTGAGGAGAGGAGTGATGCAGCAGGAACTCAGTCAGATACTTCCTCCCCCAACAGTGGAGAGTGGATCTGCACTTTCTGCCGAGACTTATCTAAACCCGAAGTTGAATATGACTGTGATGCTCCCATTCACAACTCAGAAAAAAGGAAAACTGAAGGCCTTGTCAAACTAACACCAATAGATAAAAGGGTAAGTTTCCAGCCCAAACTGTTAAACTTAGTTGTTTTGGTTAGATGCCCCGTCATTGTAATGCAGCTGTGCCGTCATCATAGAAATGTATTATCAATTTAGTACTTTTCTTCCACAGAATACAAAAATCTTAAATAATGGCAGATTATAACTTTTTTAATGAAATAAAATAGCAATGCTATATATACATTTCCTAGAAGCTTAAAATATAGTAATTGAACACGGTAGACTGTATATCCTTTATGTGGTCTGGACTTCTAAATTTAGCCTACCTTTAATAAATTTCAGTTTTATTTTCTACTACAGATATGTTTTCTTCCTTGAAATTTGTTCAGAATTGGCAGCAAAGAGATGGGTTTTTATATTTATTCTTCCTGGAAATAACTCATTCTTTCACCCAGTGGTACTGGATTTATACCTTAAAGCCAGCTAATGTATTTAACCTTACTTATTACTAAAGAAGCTCCTTTGCTAAATTATTAAGTAGAACAATCAGTATGAAAGTTGTCGTGCAAAAGAGGGCTGAAACATGCAGTATCGCACTGGGGTAGACTTGTAAGCAGAGAAATAACAGAGTGCATGATGGAAACCTCTGCATTCAGAGAGGGACCTTAGGACCCAACACCCCATGGATAGAGATCCACCTCTGGATCGCTTAACATCTGGATGTTCTTCTTTTATTGACTATGAGTCATTTTATTGACTATTAGTAATTTAGTATAAAAATTGCAGAGATAAGTGGAAATTTTATTTTTAAAAACTTCAGATAGGTTTCTAGTGATACTGTGTATTCATCTGGTTTTAATTTTCATTCTGATACTTTTAGACCTATTAATATTGCTATTAAAAATTAGTTGTGACTTCATTATTTCTTATTTATTTATTTATGCTTAGAAGTGCGAACGCCTACTTTTATTTCTTTACTGCCATGAAATGAGCCTGGCTTTTCAAGACCCAGTTCCTCTGACCGTAAGTATTAATGGTGCATTAAAGTATTAAAATGCATTTTTGTACAGTGGGATGATTTTTCTGAAACTTGATTTATGAGAATCTAGTTTCTGTACCATATTTCAACAGTAAATTTCTTACATTAATCAAAATCTTAAAACTTTCTGCATTGTTGTTGTTTAGTCACTCCTCTTGCTCTTCTGCCCATGGGATTCCTCCGACAAGAATACTGGAGTGGGTTGCCATTTCCTTCTCCAGGGGATTGTCCCGACAGAGGGATCAAGCACACATCTCCTGTATTGGCAGGCAGATTCTTTACCACTGAGCCACCTTGGAAGCCCCATTAATACATACTAAATGCTTTAATCTTGACTACATTTTAATGTTAACTAACTGCCCCAAAACTTCTGTTCTTTTTTCATGTATTCTTTCTTCTCATGTATTTTACTTACTATTCTCTGGGGTGATTTATATCAATTGTTTCTCTCAGGAGTTTTAGGTATCTATATCCTAAAGCTATTGGGAAAGAAACTTTCCATTTCAGGTAAAGACACCCCTGTGCCCCCCCTCCCATCTCTGTACATATTTTAATTTATAGGTGCAGACTTCAAGTAATCAGTTCAGTTCAGTCATGTCCAACTCTTTGCGGCCCCATGAACCGCAGCATGCCAGGCCTCCGTGTCCATCATCAACTGCTGGAGTCTACCCAGACCCATGTCCATTGAGTCAGTGATGCCATCCAACCATTTCATCCTGTGTTATCCCCTTCTCCTCCTGCCCTCAATCTTTCCCAGCATCAGGGTCTTTTCAAATGAGTCAGCTGTTCGCATCAGGTGGCCAAAGTATTGGAGTTTCAGCTTCAACATCAGTCCTTCCAATGAACATTCAGGACTGATCTCCTTTAGGATGGACTGGTTGGATCTCCTTGCAGTCCAAGGGACCCTCAAGAGTCTTCTCCAACACCATAGTTCAAAAGCATCAATTCTTCAGTGCTCAGCTTTCTTTATAGTCCAACTCTCACATCCATACATAACCACTGGAAAAACCATAGCCTTGACTAAGCAGACCTTTGTAGGCAAAGTAATGTCTCTGCTTTTTAATATGCTCTCTAGTTTGGTCATAACTTTCCTTCCAAGGAGTAAGCATCTTTTAATTTCATGGCTGCAATCACCATTTACATTGATTTTGGGGCCCCAAAAAATAAAGTCAGCTGCTGTTTCCACTGTTTCCCCATCTATTTGCCATGAAGTGATGGGACCAGATACCATGATCTTAGTTTTCTGAATGCTGAGCTTTAAGCCAACATTTTCACTCTCCTCTTTCACGTTCAAGAGGCTTTTTAGTTCTTCTTCACTTTCTGCCGTAGGGGTGGTGTCATCTGCATATCTGAGGTTATTGATGTTTCTCCTGGCAATCTTGATTCCAGCTTGTGCTTCCTCCAGCCCAGCATGTCTCATGATGTACTCTGCATATAAGTTAAATATGCAGGGTGACAATATACAGCCTTGACGGACTCCTTTTCCTATTTGGAACCAGTCTGTTGTTCCATGTCCAGTCCTAACTGTTGCTTCCTGACCTGCATACAGGTTTCTCAAGAGGCAGGTCAGGTGGTCTGTATTCCCATTTCTTTCAGAATTTTCCACAGTTTATTGTGATCCACACATTGGCGTAGTCAATAAAGCAGAAATGGATGTTTTTCTGGAACTCTCTTGCTTTTTTGATGATCCAGCGGATATTGGCAATTTGATCTCTGGTTCCTCTGCCTTTTCTAAAACCAGCTTGAACATCTGGAAGTTCACAGTTCATGTATGGTTGAAGCCTGGCTTGGAGAATGTTGAGCATTACTTTACTAGCGTGTGAGATGAGTGCAATTGTGTGGTAGTTTGAGCATTCCTTGGGATTGCCTTTCTTTGGGATTTGAATGAAAACTGACCTTTTCCAGTCCTGTGGCCACTACTGTTTTCCAAATTTGCTGGCATATTGAGTACAGCACTTTTACAGCATCGTCTTTCAGGATTTGAAATAGCTCAACTGGGATTCCATCACACCTGCTAGCTTTGTTCGTAGTGATGCTTTCTAAAGCCCACCTGACTTCACATTCCAGGATGTCTGGCTCTAGGTGAGTGATCACACCATCGTGATTATCTGGGTCATGAAGATCTTTTTGTAGAGTTCTTGTGTGTATTCTTGCCACCTCTTCTTAATATCTTCTGGTTCTGTTAGGTCCATACCATTTCTGTTCTTTATCGAACCCGTCTTTGCATGAAATGTTCCCTTAGTATCTCTAATCTCCTTGATGAGATCTTGAGTCTTTCCCATTCTGTTGTTTTCCTCTATTTCTTTGCACTGATCTCTGAGGAAGGCTTTCTTATCTCTCCCTGCTCTTCTTTGGAACTCTGCATTCAAATGGGTATATCTTAAGAAGTAGACATTGGCAATAGAGGAAGAGATGTGTGTGCTTACCATTGACTTCAAAAGCTTCATATTTCAAGTTTGATGTGACTTTAGTGCATTATGGGCTTCCCTAGTGACTCAGCTGGTAAAGAATCCACCTGCATTGTGAGAGACCTGGGTTTGATCCCTGGGTTAGGAAGAGCCCCTGGAGAAGAGAAGGCTACCCACTCCAGTATTCTGGCCTGGAGAATTTCATGGACTGTATAGTCCACGGGGCTGCAAAGAGTCAGACACGACTTTGCAAGCTTCAGTTTCACTGTCACTTAGTGCATTATTGTAGAGTGCTGGAGAGAACCTGCTACTCAAAATGTGTTCTATTCTCTGACATCTGAATTTCCTTTAAAAAAGCTAATAGATTTGTTAAAAAAAATTTTTAATTGAATGCAACTTTAGAAAATTAGACAAATAACTACACTGAGCTGAGAAGCAGTGAACTTCTTTCCTTGTAAACAAGTTTTGAGAAGTTAAGATCGGAAAAAGAAATGCAGTTGAGCCTTAAAACAACACAGAGGTCGAGGGTACCAGCTTTCTGCACAGTGGAGTCTTCATTTGACTTTACAGTCAGCCTGCAGCATCAATCAATCACAGATTTTGTAGTACTGCTGTATGAATTTCATGGGAAAAAAATCTGTGTATGAGTGTACCTGCACAGTTTGAGGGTCCACTATAAATAGTCTTTAGGGGGGAAGGCCCTTTGTGCCCAAAACAAGCAGGGCAAAAATATGCCAATAAGAAGTTAATTCACTTAAAAATGTGACCTAGAATTTGGTGCTTTTTCTAATGTTGACCTACTGTTACATTTGGCATGAATAACAGCAGCAGCAAAATAGGCCCCCTTAATATGTATTATCTCATTTCATCTTTACAAAGTCCTATGAGAATAGTAGAATTATTTCTGTTTGAAACTTGAAGAAACAGGTTCAGTGAAATGACTGAACCCAGTAACTTACCCAGGAGAGTATTATTGAGTAGCAGAACTGTGGTTCAAACCCAGATTCAGAGCCCACTTATTTCATTATTGTTTAATAATGAAAAAGGAAAATAGTAAGAGGGAAAATGTAGTAGGCTTTTTTCATTAAAAATAACTGATGAAAATTTTTGATAAAAGTGACACAAAACATTTACCAATGTTTGGAAGCATGTAGGTGCTTGCAAATTTTGCTGAATATATTTACTTATCAGTGACAAAACAGAACTGAGAAAAGCAGTAAGGACAATCTGAATTATATACTACTACTTAGAAAATTTATATAGGACCAGGTAGAATTTATTTATTATAGCATCACATTTCTTTTGAAAGGTGCCTGATTATTACAAAATAATTAAAAATCCAATGGACTTGTCAACCATCAAGAAAAGACTACAAGAAGATTATTGCATGTATACAAAGCCTGAAGATTTTGTAGCTGATTTTAGATTGATCTTTCAAAACTGTGCTGAATTCAATGAGGTGAGAAGGGGGGAAAAATAGCAATGTGAAGTAATGTTAAATCAAACACCTTACCAACAAATGAGGAGATGAAGATATCTATCTGTGGTAGCATAAATTTTCAGAAGTTCGAGTCTATGTCAGGGAATGAAAGAGGTCATTAGGAAAACGTTATCCACATGTATAGTCAAAGGCTTATTATATGGTGAGTGGAAATGCAAATTACAGTCAACAACTTAAAAACAGTTTAGAAAATATCTTTATCTAATCCAGAAGCATGCTTTGTCATTCTCACCTTTATTTCTTGAAATATGGCATTTCCAGACTCTAGTCTTTGTGATATTGAAATATTAAGAATGTGGTTTAAATAATTCTCAATTAAGAATTTTCTCAAAAACTTTATCATCTAAACATCTATCAGACTTAAAGCTTTTTGATGATAGTTTGTCCTTTGTATCAGTTACTCATTCCAGAGGTAAATATTTTATTTGTTCTAAAAAATACCTGTTATTGGATTCTGATTACAGCATCTCTTTGATATCTTTTTGGTAATCTAGATGAGTCAACAACTTTATTTACTTCTTATCTGCTCTTCTCTAGACTTTGTCTTGCCCCAGACTATTATTTACTTTACATCAAAGCTATAGGTGAACATTTAATCCACTGATATTCATAATCTTCAGGTAAAAGGGAGAAAATGTAAGAAATCTACTACTTTTATTGACTAAACATTTTTTAATTGATATTTTTATTTTTATTCAACAGCCTGATTCAGAAGTGGCCAATGCTGGTATAAAACTTGAAAGCTATTTTGAAGAACTTCTGAAGAATCTTTATCCAGAAAAAAGGTTTCCTAAACTAGAATTCAGAAATGACTCAGAAGATAATAAATTTAGTGATGACTCAGATGATGACTTTGTACAGCCCCGGAAGAAACGCCTCAAGAGCATAGAGGAACGCCAGTTGCTTAAATAAGCACACTGGCCTGAGCTGGTTTTTATATTTTTGTTTGTTTTCGAAAAACATTTTGCCACTAATTTAACATCAATACCAAGAAGACTTTGTGACCATCTTAAGTTTTCAATGTTTACTAGACTCTGATTTCCTTAATAACCCATTTCTTTTAACCTTCTTATTAAGAAAGAAAGGAAAAGAGGGAGGAAGGAAGGAGAAAGGAAGAAAGAAGCATCAACAACAAAATAAAAAGACATTCTTCCCACTTCCTGGATTTCAAACTGCAGTCCTGAGTGACAGCTACTATAGAAAGGACTTTGTATAAACTCTAAGTTGAAATTTTAATGTGGTCTGGATGTGTGCATTAATCCATTTTTAGAAAATACCACTACTCAATTATGGACCAACATGAGTTAGGTGTACTGCACATAAGTACAGTACTCCATGAATGTCAGTGGTAATAAGAGTTCTATCCTAGAATGCCCACTGGTGCACCGAGAAAGTAGACTAGATTCTGTTTAAGAAGGTGCCTAATAGTATATTATGTAAGATGGCAACTGTATTAAAGAAAAAGGAAAACAAATGTTTGATTTTTTTTGTTTGTTTGTTTGTTTGTTTGTTTTTCTTGTCTGTAGAGGTGTTTGATATAGCAGGTTTTCAAGGCCATTTTTCATACGTTTCTAAAACCTCCCTTCCACCAGGGAAGGAAGTAAGTGTACTTGTTTGGTTTTGCTGTGTGTCTGTGTGTGGACTGGTGTTTGCATTTTAACTGTGCAGATGATCCTTTTATAACAAGACTCATTGTCTGCAGTATGGCTTTTGGTGGAGCCATCCAGAATATGAAATACAGCAGTGTGTGCCATATTTGATGTAAAGATTCTTCAACTTATGCCCTTTGGGGCATTAAATACAAATTCCCCTGAAAGGGACCAGTTTTTGTGGTTTTCATCTGTCTTTATAAATTGGAATGAAAGTCTTTTGTGGAATTTAGAAGCAGGCAGTTAGAGGGAATTATAGTGAAATTTAAATTTTTTCTAAAGCATCTATTTTTCAGAATCAGAACCTCAAATTGATTGTTTCTGACTTAATCTGGGCTTCATTTTCATTCTCTTGATGGAGAGATATAGAAGACCTGCCTTCTGAGGGCAAGCATATTCTTAATGGGTCAGCCTTGGCTAGTTTAATTGACTTTCATGTATTCCTTTTACTTGTTGTTCAGTATCAAGGGAGGTAACTAGATTAAGATAGAAGAAAATTGTTGTGCCATTTCCTAATCTAACATTTGACAGAACACATGAAATTTTTTAGTTTGCCAAAGTAAGCCTTTATTTATAAAACATCAATTGGCTGAGGAAATTTTCCTCTTAGGCCAGTAGAATAAAAATATAGCTGACTTGACAAAATTTTATCCTTCGGTTGGTGTCAGGTCCCATGAATTAAACCTAGAGGACTTACTTTTATCCACTTGGTATTATTTCTTCAAATGGATAATTTGAAAATGCCCTGTGGCTAAGTCATTGGGTTTTCAGGTACTGCTAAAGATAAAATGAGAAAATACTGATAATTTATTGGCAAGAGCATCTCACTTTGTGTAGACTTCAGTTTAGTCCATATGTCAATTATGTATTAAACGTTAAGAAACCGTAATTCACTTTTCCAAATATGTGTTTCAGGGAAGTTGTTGTTGTATGGTTTTGAGTATATATTTGGCATTTATTCTCCAAAGACAAACAGATTTTGGTAATAGTGCATTTACCACTTGATTGTCTTCTTTGTTCCAGCATCTTTAGCATAGCAGCCATGGAGCTTTTGCTAGTCAGTTTATTGTTTTTATGTTAGAATAGTTCCTTAGGACATTTTCTTCTTCCACATTTGTCTCCTTAGTTAAAGGGGGCCACTGCAGATAAATTTTGAGGATGATCACAAAAGGAAGTAGCACTTAAGAGTGAAAAATTGTAATTTCCTGAATGCATCTGAGCCAGAATGTCTACTAATGTACCCAGAACTTTCACTGCCATATTCAGTGCCATATGAATCTTTTAAAACAATATTTTTCTTTCACCTTTATATATATATATACACACACACACACACACACACACACATATATATATTGCTGAATGAAAGGCAGTTGACAACTACATATATTAAAGAGTTTCTCTCTCCAACAGCATTTTCTTGATAGTCTTTAAAGTCCTGTGACCTTATTAACAGGTGCGTATGTGTCCAGGTGGATCCCAGCATATCCCAGCAAAGTAGTCCTTAAATTATAATAGAAATAAGCTATCAGAAGAGCCTGACTATACCTCATGCCCATTTGGAGAGCATTCCTTTCAAAAGGTCAGTGCAACTCAAGCAACCTTGACCTAAACTTTCAAAACTCCAGTTTTTACCTCTGATCAAAAACTCCTGGAGATTGCTGTCTAGATTTAGAACCAAGAGCCTCATGTTACATCTGCAGGACTCCCAGTGCTGAAGGTTGATCACATGATGAGCAGGCCATGTGGCAGCTAGAACTGACTCAGTCCAGCTCATCAAAAGTTCTCCCAGGTGCCAAGCATCTTATCTTTCCCATCAATAAGAAAACCCAATACACAGTCAGTGACTTACAAGGATAATGTATACCATATTAAATTCCAAATACTATCTGGCAATACAGTTATCTTGTCCTTTGAATTAACAGGCCCTGCTTTTCTTTTCTGAGTTGAAGGGTAGGAAAATTGGAAGGTCCTAAAAGGAAAATGTCCTCTTTTGGTAGCTTTAACTTTCTTTTCCAAGCTAAAGAATTGGCTCCACATTTTACTACTCCACAATAGTGTAGACATAACACAATTTAGGACTACTTTCAAAAAGATTGATTCCACAGTCGAAAGGGTGAGTATATGAATTTGCCTTTCAGTTTTCTCTTGCTGTTAACACTGCTTAAACTTTTAAATTTAGGTTCCATGGAAAGACTAGTTAGACAATGAAAGGAGGAACTAACTCCTTTTGGTCTACAGATGAACATGAATCCCAGCAGTAGGTTGCTTCACGGGAGCAAAAGGTTTTTAAATTTAAATAGAAGATGTACTTATTTTCTTTTCTTATTTTTCTTTTCATCTGTATCTGTTATGAATGAGAGAAGCTGATCTGATTGACCATTAAAATTATGGACATAACCATGAGTTCAGCCATCTAATTGCTTGTTGAAATAGAAAGTGAAAGCCGCTCAATCGTGTCCGACTCTTTGCGACCCCATGGATTATACAGTCCATGGAATTCTCCAGGCCAGAATACTGGAGTGGCTACGTAGCCTTTCCCTTCTCCAGGGGATCTTTAGAAGCCCTCCTTTAAAATAACCATGCACATAAGTGTTTTTTTTTAATTTTTTATATTATGTGAGTTAAGAATTCATGTCTCTTTATGTATATTATCCCATCATCTTGGATGTGAATTAACTAAAATTCACATATTGGTGGTTCATGTTTTTGAAAGAATAATGCTAGCCAATCAGATCACAGTTTCTCTCCCTATGAAGGTTTTGCTTGTGAAGGATATCTGAGGCAGTAGTCTTTGTTGTTGTTTTTAATTTGGGAGAGTCAACTGGTGCTTTGATTTTAATAAAAATCAGCTTTGATGAATTTTTACTGTGAATATTTTACCACGACAAGGAATTTTAAATGGAAAAATTACTCTCTGTCATTCAGCAGAATATTAACTAGTGTGGTTCTCCTTTGTGTCCTTTGTATATTCCCCTATAAAATTGGTCTATTTAGGGATGAGCTGTGCATACTAAGTCACTTCAGTCATATCCAACTCTTTGCAACCCTATGGACCATAGCTACTAGTCCACAAATAAAAGGAAGACTTTTAAACAAGCAAAAACAAAACTGTAACATAGGGATTTCACCAACTTTAAAAGATAAGCAAAACATTAATTTGGCAAATAGGAAGGAAGAGGAGGGTGTCAGTGAGCCATTAAGGGCCATGCCTTGGCAATGATGCTGGTTCTCGAATCCAGTTGTGTAAAGCATTTACTGATGAGGGTTTAAAGAAAACTCAAGACACAATAAGTCCCAAATAAAGGCATTGACATTCATATTACGGGAGGACTTTTTGGCCACTGTAAATTGTGCTTTGAAGAGATTTTAAAAAATCAAATTCTCTTCTATACATAAAACTATGGATCTAGACATTCAACCTCTGTCTTACTGCATAAAGCAAAATATGCTTGTACAGAGATTAGGGTTATGTTACTATTGTTAATACCTCACCTAGCATTGTCTTTTAGTGGACTGCGAAACCAATCCAAAAAAGTTAAGTAAATGACGACGTTTGCCAACTTCCATTTCTACTAGTGCCTGAAACGATTAAGGTAAGCAATATTTATGAGTTTATAAAAGATTTCTGAAATTCAGCATCTGAATTAAAATTATGTTGATAAAGGGTTGCCGTAGACTAATTTAGTGTCTTCTAGGAAGCTTGAGTACTAGACAGTTCTAGACAACATGGTATAGTATCTTAAGCTTGGATGCTGCCACATTGAAAGTTCCTGAAATCCTTGGGAAGGTGCTTAAGCATCAGTTTTGTCAGTGGTTTTCAATCACTGCTATTCTTTGGTTTTAAGTACTATTTACTGCTAAGGTCAGCTTTAGGGTTTTGAGTTACAGTTTGTCATGGGTTTTTGTTTTGTTTTTCTTTTTTTTTTTTTTTGGCTGCCTCAGGTGTTAGTCATGATGCACAGGCTCTCAAATTGTGGCGTGTGGGCTTAACTGTCCCTGAGTATGTGTAATCTTCCCCAACCAGGGATCAAACCCACGTCCCCTGCATTGGCAGGTGGAGTCTTAACCACTGAACCACTAAGGGCTATTTGGCTAACCCTACATGTGTAGCCAAGACATCTTTGCATCAAAAATATTTTGGCCTAAAATTTTCTAATAACTAGACTAAGGTCTACAAACTATTTAAAAGTATTAAAGATGACAACTTAGGTAATCCAAACAAACTTTTATTCAACACTTCTTGAAGAAGGCAATTTCCAT